CTGGACACTGACTAAACTTTTATATTTTCTGTCCACTATAGTAAAAACGAGGTTTAATAAAATGCTTATTCAAAAAAAACCAAATCAAATGCTTAGAAGGGACACTCATGGATAACACATATCCACTAAAGTTAGTTAGCCGTTATAAAAATGTCTCAGTGGTGAGAATTGATGAGTATTCTGTCCCGAAAAAGGACGTTTACATCACGCTGCCGTATAGGGAGAGATCAAAGAGCATGATTTTGAGGTGAGGGTTGGCTTGTTTAAGTTATTAAAAATACATACCATGCAGCTATCCTCAATATTACAGAAAAAGGGGAACCTATGTTTCGAAATAAACCTCATCACTATATAGATGACAACGTCACATCCCACTGTGTATACGAGTTTATATATGTATGCAATGAGGCATATATTGGAAGGAGTAGTCGGACAATGAATTCGAAGATGGAGTGTATCTCTATTATTATTATATTATTATTAGTCCCTTGGGTTCCTAGTGGAACATAGGGCTTCAGTAGCACGCCTCCAGTGACCTCTGTTCTCTGAGATCTTTTGAACCTGGTCCCACGACAGCCCAGAAGCTCTCATTTCCTGCTCGCACGACCTCCTCCATGTCACCCTTGGACGTCCAACTCGTCGCTTCCCATGGGATTCCACTCGAGCAACTGGCCTGACGCGTGATGTCCTCAGTCGGCCTTCTCAGTGCATGCCCAGTCTAATCCATCTCCACTTCCTCCTGCATATTTGTTGAGCGATAGGTTCTTGGTTGGTTCGTTCCCACAGTTCCTTGTTCCTTATTCTTTCTGGCAATCCATCTGAGCTTCAGTAGCGAGCGTAAGCAGTTATTGATGAATGTCTGTAGTTTATTGGAAATCCCTTTCGTGAAGCGCCAAGTCTCTCAAACATACAGGAGCACTGACTTGACGTTGGTGTTGAAAATCCGTATCTTGTTCCGCATGCTGAGTGCAGAAGATCTCCACACTGGTTTCAGGCTAATGAACGCCTGTCTTGCTTTTCCGATTCTCACTTTGACGTCCTCGTCCGTCCCGCCTGTAGTTGAAACAGTGCTTCCTAGATAAGTGAAGGTTACTTCCTTTAAGTTTCTCCCGTTGATGGTGACTGGAGTTTGTTGTTGTTGTTGATGATGGGGAGTGTATCTCTAAGTAGCCGAAAAAGTAACTACATTCACGTAGTTCGATAATTCGAGGCAGACGGATGTCATCCTCTATGAGTAAATATATTATGAAGACAAGTCACAGGACTGACGCAAAATCAGCCTTTTGACTATTGAGGAGAAGAAAGCTCATTAACTGACTCTGCGATCGAACGCGAAGTATTTTTACCAGAGACTATGTGCTAGTTGAACCGGACTTCTTAATAGGTACACCTGGAGAAAACTGATGTTCTGGTCGATTTGTTGGTAAGAATATATGAGGAAGACAAGCAAAATAAGCCATCAGCTCAGTTTTTAAACTGACTTTGTTCATCAGTCTGGAATTTAAGGATGATGTAGCATCAGATAACCTTGAATATCGTCTTTCGAGACCACTTATTAGAACCTTTCTGCACCTAAACTTCATAAATTGTTTTCTGTTTGTGCAAAAGACAATATCCCACGATAGCCCATATACATCAAACACTTCACCGGATAATGTGGAGCTAGTTAAATCCACCGGAGCCGGAAATAGCTCTCAACACATATATGAGAATATATTCCAGCCTAGTTTCATAAGTGTGAAAGGAAATATATCAGAAGTTATACTGTTGGACATCTAATCGCTTCTCATCATTCATCTGACTCGGAAAATGATTTGAAGGTTCTCTATCGAATTCGACCAAACACCTTATGTTTCATACTTCTAGTTATCGCAAACACTCAAATCTTCCATCTTCAACAGTTTTACAAGGTAACCTTTCTTCCAATCAGTAGGCAGCTACCTTCCCTTCCTTCCACACCTTCTGCAATAGTGGTGTGGTGTGAGCATGTCCGCTGTCGTCTCTGTGTCTGTTTTCAGTGCTTCTGATGGGATTCCATCTGGTCCTGCTGCTTTCCCACATTTCAGTAGCTTTATGGCACTCAGGATTTCCACTTCTGTTGGAGGATTTATGTTCACTTGTAGTTCAGCGGCTGGGCTGTAGGTGGTATTTCTGGACGAAGTGCAGGTGGTGATGGTGGTCGATTCAAGAGCTTCTTGAAGTGGTCGGCCAGGCCATCTTTTCCTTTCTTTCTCTTCTTTCCTAATTAAATTTCCTTCTTCATCTTTTATTGGTTTCGTCTGCATTGATCTCTTCCCTGCCAGATAGCACCTGGTTATTTGATACAATGTTGTCACGTCTCTGTCTCTCCTACCTACAGCAGCCTGTTCTGCTTCACTTGTCAGTGTGTCATAGAAGTGTCTTTTGTCTTTCCGTGCACTCTCCTTCACTTCTTTGTCCAGTGTAGTTTTTGATACATTGTACTCAGTTCCTCTTCTCGTTGTGCATCCTTGCACTGGTTTATCTTCTGTTTCACCATCCTTTTCTCCTTGCTCTATCAGCTTCCAGGTATCCATTGAGATCCATTTCATTCCTTGTCTTCTTTCTTCTTCTTTCCTAATACTGCTGTGCAGGTTTCTTTCCACATAGCTTTCAAAGACTCCCAGTGTTCTTCCACACAGGTTTCTCCAGGGATGTTCCTCGATATCTCCCATTTTGTCTTGATGGCTGGCTGCTGTGAAGATTTCCTTTGTAGTTTCTTCCTTCAGTTTCTGTTCAGAGTGTTGTACTTCAACTGCGGTCTATCACAAGCTTCCTTGAAGGCTTTCAACTTGATTTTGAAGGCAGGTTCCTTGCACTAGACAGTGAGTGGTGTGAACCTACATCTGCTCCTCTTCTTGACCTTGTGTTAAGTAGACTGCATCTCCATTTTCTTGAGATTGAGATAAAGCCGATCTGATTTTTAGTGTAAGGTGTCCATCTGGTGAAATCCATGTGCCTTTGTGGATATCCTTCTGCTTGAACACACTGCCTCACTGCAATCACCAAATCGTTGAATGCACAGAACTCTGCAAACAATTCTCCATTCTCGTTCATCACCTCACCGAGTGCTTCTCGACCCATGGTTAGTTCTCTTCCTGTGTTGTCTGCTCCCAGTTTGGCATTCATGTCATCCAACCCATTAGAATTTTGATATCGCCAACTGAGGTGGGGTCTTGTCCAGTGTTGACTGAAGTTGTCTGTAGAATTCCTCCTTCTTCTCTTCATCTGCATTATTTGTAGGTGCGAAGCATAGCATTGCATGATTGTGACCTTCCTTCCTTTTGAGTTGAACCTTGCTGTCATGATCCTGCATGAGGAGATTGGTTCCCACTGCATGAGAGCCTTCGATGCTCTTGGGGACATCATGATAGCCATTCCATATTTCAGTGTGCTGGTGGTTGTCGTCTGAGTGACAGTATCGGAGTAGATTATTGATTCTCTAGTTGACAGTTTGGAGATTCCACTCCCATTCCATCTGCTTTCGCAAATTCCAAGCACTTCAATGCGATACCTTCTGATCTCGTTTGCAATCTGGGCTACCTTGCTGGGTTCAAACATCGTGATGACATTCCATGTCCCCATGTTTACTTTCGCTTTCATCGAGGGAGAGAAGACACATCGGCCAATTGGCTTCCCGAAGGCTTTCACCAACTGGCGTCATTTCGCCTCTCCGATTCCAGTGAGGAATAATATTGTTATTATTTTTTATATATCGTTTGTGCTTTGAAGTTTCTTTAGCGGTTAGATTTGTTTTACGGGGTAGGGTTGCTAGCCCTATGCCCAACCTTCCCTCTTTATCCGGGCTTAGAGCCGGCTAGTAACTAGTGAACTAGTCAACCAGTGGAGCTATAGTGATGATAGTAACAGATACCAACGTTTGTATCGTTTTCACTTTTAGGTGTTGTTTCTGTCATGGTACCACACATTCTTCGCTACCCATAAGCTGCCAAGTGTATCTACACATAATTGACGTATATGTGAGCAACACCTTATCTCTTGGACTACTTCCTGATGTCATCGCCTGACAACCATACATCCAGGGATGGCAGCCTGTTCAACTTCAGCTGCGTTACTTATCGCCATGCGAAATATTCAGTTCAATCCATGTATGGATAGTGTCATATTCCAGCGCACCTCACTACCTTCAAACTGCCGGTGAACATTCTGTGAACACAAACTGCTCCTACCATTTAGCACAACTCCTTAATCACAATGACTCAATTCCCCATAGTGTCTACTCATACAGATTCACAGAAGCATAGGATAAGAGTGTGTCACATGTCTTACCACGTGACACGTCAGTCTGAATGACGGAAACCATTAGAGATGATGTTCAATGAACACTTGTATATGACATCATAGAATCAGTCAACTACCGAACAACCTTTAGGCGTCCACGCCACAAATGATAACAAAAAACAGAGAATGGGATTGCTGATGAGTTATTAATCGACAGAACTATTGGCACTCAACACTTTGACAAATGAAGCGCTACGAAAATTATGGATTACCAATCCTGTCCTTGTTTATATTTCATCTCACAACATAATGTATGCAATTCCTCTGTAGTCAACTTACACACTGGTCACATCGTAGGTAACGATTACCATGAATGCAACAGTATTCTAACATCCATAAAACTCAAACCATTCACTTTTAATTCTCATATATCACTATCATATTGGACTACTGTATTCCACCACTAATAAACAAGTAGACAGGGATAAAATATAATTTGAGATGAAGTATAATTTTATGATAAAATTTTTAATCATTATATCAAATTACTGCATAAAGAAAGAGTGATTAGTTGATATGATTCCCAAATACTTCTTAAGATGAAAATAATTTATACCTTTTATTACACAATTTAAAAATACATAGTCTTCATCTAAATTCAGAACTGTTCACAGAAAAAAGACTATAGAATAATACTTAAAAATGATTCAGTTCACTTCAACTTGAACTCATTCAACTCATCATCTTTCAGCATTGACAATAGTTGGTTGAAATTCCTTATACAAATTATTTATAACATTTGAAAAATGTTTCCGAGCTTGATTACGTGACAGTTTATTGGTTGGAGTTAATAAGCCATTAGTAGTAGTAAACTCTTCATTTGATAAATGGATTACTTTCACCTAATTATTGGAGAGAAAAAAAAGGAGAAAAATTCGAAAAAAAAAACAAACAAACATTTAAGACGTGAGATGACTATCGAAATTCTGTCTTTAAGTACTAGAAATGAAAAACAATATTGCTAATATCACTTGAAAACAATAAGCTTAAGATAACTGGACAATTCAACAATTCAAAACCCCATTATACCTTCTAAAGAAGTATATACAGCCTTTTTCTTTACCATTGTAGACAACTGATCACTTGATGAAGTGTATTTTATTTAGTAATCACTTGTTTATTTCACTATTTTAAATGTTTTTATATAAATTAAGTAACTTTTTTTTGTCATAATTTTCATCTTGACCTTTGACCGGAGATTACTCTGGAATTTTCAATTGTTTCTAATATGTATACAACAAATGACTTGAATGAATAGTCACGAATGAATTGTAATTAATTAATTCATAATTTCATTCTCGTGACCATTAATCACTTGAGTACACTACACTACACCACACCATATCGTGTCATTATCACAGGACTAATTCATTATCATTTTTACATTTTCATGAACAATCTACGATTGCTTCATAACAGTTTGATTTCAGTCCAATACTCAAATATTTGTCAGTTATGAAATATCTCTATGATCTCTATTTGATTTTCGTGATAAACACGAAATTCGTGTCATTTGAATAATAATGACAATTTATACTTAGCGATAACTGAAGGTGAGATAAAAATTTGGACAGCAACACAATTCAATCAGCGATCACTGCGACACATGCTCTACCAACTCACATACGCTCATGACCACATTTTTATTTCACTTCAATCACCTTGGCTTTTCACAGACTACCATGTCAATTTATGACGCCTTTCTACCGCTCGATCGTATTCACACTGGCTGCCTAGTCAGAACTTCTCATCTCAATCGAAATGTAACTGAATGACAGGGGGAGTGATAGCAACATATTGATCATTATTTTGACTGAGATATCCCTAGTTTGGCAGACTAGTATTTATATTAGGTGATGATTGAAGTGAAATAAAAATCTGATCAGCAGTCGGACCACGTAGCTCAGTAGGTAGAGCATCGGGCTGGAAACCCGTTTGTCATTCATTGGAATCCGACTACGGTCTAAATTTTCTTTTTAACTTCAATCATCACGCAGTAAAAGTACTACTCTGTCAGATGGTCAAATGATAACAGTAATAATAATAACATATTTGCTTCATTCCGAACCATAGTTATGTTTACAGAATAGAATTCTCAGAGTATGTTATTACATAAATTTACCCATTATACAACATTCTTCAAATCTGTATTAAAAATGGTTCTGTTAAACGATACATAATACAGAATAATGAATAACAGGATTATCGAAATGTTTAATAACTTGAGGGACATGATAACTGTTCGCTATTACACAGTTGATCGAAAAGACTGTCTAACATGATTTCCTCCTCACAATAAACAAGCTAAGAAAAAAGGTATGGTTGATATTTTATATGTAGTTGTTGCGACATAGAATTTAATATATTTGCTTCTTGTCTCACCAGATGACAGACATGGAGAGAAGTGAGGATGTAGAAGATGCTTGTCATCAGATAAAACATTTTTAGTCAGTTATCCAAACAGTTCATATGTCTGTCTACGAATACATTTATCAGCTCGCTTAGGGGTGTGCAACTTGCTCTACTAACAGCCTTCAAACTCCTACGCAATATAATGTAGTCGTTTTTCCGGAGTCCACGGAAGGATAAGGGGGAACAATAAGTAAGTATAGGTAAGACACAGGAATTAATGGAACGTAAGAGTAGAGGCTGAGTAATGCGAGACAGTCTGAGTTTCTTTATATAAAAGGTGAAGCGAAGGATTTTCCTAGACATCAGTAATACATGAGTAGACGGAGAAAGATCAGAAGGAAAGCATAAGCCAAGATGGACCACGCTTGCTACATTCTCTAGAACAGAGCCATCTACAAGATAAGAGTTATGGGACTGAAGCAATGTCCAAAGGTCTTTTTCATGTCTTAAGCTAAAATTAACCATCTGACATTTGGAGGGACTGAATGTGAGGCTATTTAAGGAAGACCAGTAAGCAATTTTCGTTTGAGAAGTTATTCAACTTAGAACAATCAGAAGAGGAGGTGATCGGCATAGATACTATCAGGTCATCAACATACTTAAGAAAGTTAGCTTTAGTTGAGATTACTAGGTCATACAGAAAGAAAGGAAAACGGAAAGAAGAGGAGAAGGAACAGCAACTTGAGACAAATCAGCTTCACTAAGCAGTGAAGTAAAGCGTTTTTGTTTGTAAAGAGTGTACTGTCTTCTCTCAGAGAAGTATGAATCAAGCCACTTTACAACCCAGAACTCAATGTGAGTACTGGCAAGCCTGTTTTAAAAGATAGGTCTAGGGATAGAGTCAAAGGCAAGGTGTAATCCAAGAAGGGAGATCTAACACACTTAGCACCTTTGTCCAAACTGGCAATAATATTATGATGTAAAGCAACTGCAGCATCTAAGATACTCCTTTTGAGTTTGTAGGCAAACTGATTTGGATCTCCGAAAGCCTGTACAGCACCACTATAAACCACAATACAAATTAATAAACACAAATAGATAAAACGTATATTGAAAATATTAAGGTTTAACTCTAAAAGTTTTAAAAAACGTATTCTTCACCTTTTCAAAGCCTTTCAATTCCTTTTTGTCAGCTACAGCGTTCAATTTATCCAGTATAAATTTATTAACCGTTTCATTTGTACATAGTTCACTGTTGGAAAGTTTTGAAAATTGTATTAATCCTGCACTCATTAAATTGGCACGTAATTCAGTAAAATCTGGAACCACAATTGCAACAGGATAATTGTTTTGGCTGTTACCATCCACAAATATCTGACTTACAACTGTACACAGTTGATAAACCATCTCTATTTTTTCCGGTGCGATGTATTCACCTTGAGCCAATTTGAATATGCTTTTCACACGATCAACAATCTTCAAAGAACCTTCCTAGTATAAGAAAACAAGTATAGGTATACACATTCACCATATACATATTTGAGTTATAAAAAAAAAATAACCGAAAACAAGTTTCACCAATCTATCGATTATTATTAGCTTATGAAATTGAATGTAATATGAATAGGTCACTCTATTAGAGACAATAGACTATAATTACTATGTGATATCACCATAAAAGTTAAACTATCGCATCACACAAACTAGTTTAGGTAGCTTTATTGACTCTATGCTGCAGTGTATTCTTTCGTTTAACATAAAAGATGACATCTTTTAGTTAAGTAACTAAAACCTACAAAACGAAAATATTAGAATTACTGAAATTTTACACTGAGAAACTCATTTTCTGAAGAGACTCAGTTTGTCAGAAGAGAAAATTATTACACAGTACACACGAATTCGATGTAGGAAAAGACGAAGACGGCAGGCATACTCTTAGCTACCTCAATCATTGATAAGTATCTTAGAAATTTCTAAAATAAACACTGTAATTGAAGTCTATAAATTCATTAGTTCTCTGGTGTTTTGTTAAACTAGTACGGTTCACTTTTTTTATTATCAAACAGACTACTAATAGAGTCTATTAGATGTTGTTAAAACGCTACTGTACGAAGTAGACATTCTACTAAGTGTAAAAATGTAATGTTGTAATTTGATAATTTCTTGAATGTTTTCAACAATATCTCAAATAGATAACATTTGTTTCACAACAAGAAAGTCTTTTGATATACGCAATCAAATATTATTCACATAAATATATTGCGATCAAGTGGTGGTAACACGCCACAAATTCACATGGTAGTCGGAAAAAACCCATGGTAGTTGAAGTGAAATAAAAATATGATCACCAGCCAGTTCTCGTAGCTCAGTTGTCACAGCATTGAGCCGGAAACCTAGTTGTCACTGGTTTGAATCCCAACCGCGGTCTAAACTTTCATTTCACCTTCAGTCATCACTATGTTTATATGTATTAACCAATTTCCATCAAAAGTTGCAAAATATTCTCTGTAATAGATACTATTGTCTATATCCCTATTGGAGATAATATGCAAACGCAATACAAAAACATTTCACAGCCATCGGCATACATAACGCTCCTAAGTATCATGAAATTCCACATGAATACACTTTAAGGGAAGACTTGTGATGAATGGAAATACTGACGAATAACTAAAGCTATCAAAATACCAGTATTTACAGATACACTTGGTTTTTTTTGAGTGTTTTACAATTCATTAAAGATTGACATTTCTTTTTAAATAATTTATCCTGGATGATAATTGAAGGTGAGATAAAAAATTTAGACAGCAACACAATTCAATCGAGCGATCACTGAATTTCCCGACACATGCTCTACCAACTCACATACGCTCATGACCACATTTTTATTTCACTTCAATCACCTTGGCTTTTCACAGACTACCATGTCAATTTATGACGCCTTTCTACCGCTCGATCGTATTCACACTGGCTGCCTAGTCAGAACTTCTCATCTCAATCGAAATGTAACTGAATGACAGGGGGAGTGATAGCAACATATTGATCATTATTTTGACTGAGATATCCCTAGTTTGGCAGACTAGTATTTGTACTAGGTGATAACTGATGGTGAGATGGAAATTTGGACCACGGCCGGATTCGAACCAGCGATCAACGGGTTTCCGGCCAATGTTCAAATTTCTATCTCGTCTTCAATCTTCACCCCTATAAGATTACTCTGCCAGACCATGACTATCTGAGATAGTCAAATGATAAATAACTTATCTGGAAAGTCGACTGTATACTACTTTAAGGCTATAAAAGACTATTTAGGGTGTAAAATCCCAATAAATTATTTTCAGTAAAAATGTATTTAACTAATAGATATTGAATTAGGATGTATTACACATCTTGAAAAATGCTTTCTGTTTTCTAAGCTTTGATATGTGATCTTGCTGGTAGAATCATCCAGTTCTACGACTATCTGTTCACAATCGGATATCAAGACTTCCAGAATGTTAGAAAACTGTTCTCTTTATACTGAACAACAAGTCACCATTGTGTAATAAAATTTAAACACTAACCGGAGTCCATTCACCAACATCTCCGGTATGTAACCATCCATCGCTGTCAATAAGTTCAGCAGTTTTTACTGGGTCTTGATAATACCCCTTCGTGCATCGGTTACCCCTGACGCATATCTGAAAAATGAGTTCGAGAATGTATTAACCTTGCATGATATGAAAAAATAACACTTAAAATAATATTAGCAGATGCAATAGTAGACAGACAGACAAAATCAACTTGGAACCACACGCACAAGTATATCTCAACAAGTTGCCACGAAAAAAACATTGAACACAAGAAGAGTGATATCATAATGGACAAAGTTGCATGCCAGAATGAACAGTTTGAAGATTACAGTTAGAGCAAATATTCAAGCTTTAGAAGACATCAGGGAGTGAAAACATCTGCGCCATTGTGACTGATTCCCGGCTATGTTACCAAGAATTCTCACCCACTGGTCCCATCTTCTTGGGCACCTCAACTAGGCAGCCTATATCTCATAATACTGCTCAGATCAAGAGTTAGTGACTTCTTAGACTGGTGCTATGTCTTGGTCTGGCTACCCTGATCCCTTTTGCAACTTAATCCAACTTCCACTAGCATGGCACGTGCAGGTAGGCAGTGACTCGGCATGCGCAGTACATGTCCAGCCCATCTCAGTTGACTAAGTTTCATAACTTCATCAACCGACTTGCTTACCTCACCTATTATCCTTTGCCTGTCTTCACTATTGCTCACATGGTGATTCCACTAAGTGCAACCAATGACACGAAGATATCTGTGATCAAAACCCTGTAACTGCTTCATGTTTCCTACTTTTAATGGCCATGTCTCACTGCCTTAAACCAAAACAGTATACTTGTACTTCGGTAGATAGTCAGATATTTCACTAGTTGGCGCCACAGTTTACGCAATTTGGCAAACGCCACACGAGCCTTCTATATCTCATCTGAGATCTCGTCAGCCGCCAGCCCGTTTAGGCTCATGCGAATCCCCAAGTGAGGTGGTTGACACATCTAATCACTACACACCCTATCAGTAAAATGAAAGTATTTGCAGCAGACTAGTCGAGGGAGTAGATCAATCCCTGTGATGTTAGACATACCAAATGCTAACGAGAAAGCAAGCCACCAACACAATATACCATTGTTATTACAGTCAGATAAGTAGAATCAACATGTGAAAATCACCGGGAAATTTTAGGAAGATAAACCTAAACAACTATAATGGATGAATATATTGCATAATGCGAATTACGGACGATCAACAAGAAATAAGTGACCACGTAAATCAGGAAACCATATGGCTTAATTTTAACGAATTCTAAGAGAAAAGACAAATATACAAATTTGAAGCCTACCTCCCCCTTTTGATTTTGCGTCATGATCGACTGCATACCCGGTACACTGGTAAGTTTTACTTCCAAATCACATGCGATAGCACCCGCAACACTTAGATGATATTCTCCAACTAGTGAAACGCTGATGCACCCCATTGTTTCAGTTGATCCATACCCTTCAAGAACCTTAAGTAGAAGAAAAAGAGAATTAAACAATACGAATCTAATACCACTGTTAATCATGGAAAGGATATTGAAATGAAGTATAAAAACGTTGATTGGATAACAGTGAGAAAACCCACATGACGGGAAAGGAACTGTTCTCACAATAACCGGAACACAGTAACCAACTGAAAATATTTTTGAAGTTAGCCATGCTCTATTATTATAATTATTACGCAGCTTTACACGCACGAAGGTGTTGTTAGTCGGTTTATACAGTCGACCATTAAAAAAATAAGTCCAGAGTTCAAATCATGCTTCGCACACTCCGGAAGGCTCAACTGGTTAGTATTACAAGACCCGATACATTAAGTGTAATGCATAGACGACTACATAAATATTTACTAAGTAAAGTGACATGGTTTTATTGTATTATTATATATATTTTTTAGTGGATTCACAGGTAGGTGATTGTCAGTAGGTAGTTTGAAGGGAAAAAAAGCACCAAATGTAACAAAACGTCACATGGCCAGTACAACTGTTTGCAAAAAAATCCTTACTAGATTACTAGCCTGACTTAGTCCGGATAAAGAGGAAAGGTTGGGTATACGGCTACCAACAATACCCCGGAAAAACAATCCAACCAATAAAGAAACTTCAAAGCACAAAGAAAACATAAAAAACAAAAAAATTGAACTCATTCCTCGCTGGAATCCGAGAGACCGAGTACGCCAATTGGCTGATGTGTCTTCACTCCTCTCGATCAAAGCAAAAGTAAGCATAGGGAAACAGAATGTCCACACAATGTTTGAAGCTGGCTGGCTAGTAAGGCTGCACAGATTCCCAAAGAGATGAGAATGTATGACACAGAGGTGATATGAATCTGTGAAAGTAGATGGAATGGGAGTGGACTCTCCAAACTGTCAACTAGAGAGTCAATAATCTGCTCCAATATTGTCACCCAGACGACAACCATGAGCACAGAACACTGAGTTATGGAGTGGCTATCATGATGTCGGCAACAGCATCCAAGGCTCTACCTCTCATGCACTGGGATCCAATCTCCTCCGCGATCAGGATCATGACAGCAGAATTCAACTGGGAACGAGGAAAGTCACAATCATTCAATGCTACGCTATACACCTATAAATAATGCAGATGAAGAGAAGAAGGAGAAATTCTACAGACAACTGTAATCAGTAATGGACAAGAAACGCCTCAGATGCCGACGGTAACATCAAAATTCTAATGGGTGACATGAATGCCGAATTGGGAGCGGATAGTCTAGGAAAAGAACCAATCATGGATTGAGAGGCACTCGGTGAAATGATGAACGAGAATGGAGAACTGTTTGCAGACCTCTGCGCAGTCAACGATTAGGTGATTGGAGGCAGTGTGTGCAAGCACTAGGATATTCACAAGGCAGCGAAACGGACTTGATTTCACCAGATGTACACACTACACTAAAAATTAGATCGACTTCATCTTATTGTGAAGAAACAGGGAGGCACAGCCTACTGGACACAAGATGAAGAAGGGGAGCAGATGTAGGTTGAGACCACTCACTATCCCGTGGAAGGAACATGCCTTCCAATCAAGTTGAAAGACTCCAAACAAGCTGGTGATAGAAAAAATTTCAAGTTGAACACCCAGAACATAAAGTAAAGGACGACACTTCAAATGACTTCTTCACATCAGTCATCCAGAAAAAATGGGACGCATTAAGCAAAATCCGTGAAGAAACCTGCTTGAAAGAATACTGGAACTCCCTGAAAGAGATTTGGAAGAAAACCTGCATAACCGTGTTAAGAAGGAAGAAGAAGCAAGACGAGACAAGGAATGGATCTCCACGGACACACGCAAGCTGACAGATGCAGAGCCAACAGCGGACATGTATTACACCACTATTGCAGAAGATTTACAAGAAAGGAAGGAAGGGTACCTGTCGATTGATTGGAAGAAAGGCTACCTTGTCAAACTATCAGAGAAGGGTGAGCGACTTAAGTCTTTGCAAGAAGTGGCACGCAATCATGCTGTCGTCCACCATAACAAAGCAAGCAAACTACTAAGCTGCATCATCCCGGAGAGACTAAAACTGCTCTGCATTCAAAACTACCACTAGAACAGGCTGCCATACCGGCTGCCTTCAGGAAGTGCAAATCATCTCTGCATCAAATTACAATACTACAATACGCATCATCATCATAGAACGGAGTATAGAATGACAGTCAACTCTCTACCTCAACTTCATCGGTTTCAAAACGGCCTTCGACAGCGTCGACCAACAGGCAATTTCTTAGGCAGCTGCTTCAACACTACGCTTTTAGTGCCACAAATCTTTATCAATCTCACTCAACAGAACCTTTATGCTACATGATGCTACATGCCAAGTGCTTCACACTGGGAAGCTCAGTGATGACTTCCAAGTGAAAACAGACAGGAGTAAAACAAGACAAGGTTGTCGCCGTCTACTATCACCGATCATCTTCCTCATTGTTGTCGAGAGGACTGGATTGGACTGGACTGGATCATGCAAGAAACTGTGAGGAGTGAGAGGATGGGCATACGCTGGTCGGATAGATGAAAAGAGCCTAGAAGATTTGGATTTCACCGATCATGATTTATGTCTAATGTTTTGTTGCACAAACTCGAAGATCTACAGGCGAAAACCAACGAGTTGATAGAAGTGGCTAGGCAGGGTAGCGAAGACGGGACTTTAAGTGAACGTAGAGGAGACAGAGGTGATGAGGATACTCAAACGACAACAGCATCAACAACAAGCATCAATCACCATCAACGGGAGCAATATAAAGGAAGTAGTCTCTTTCACCTACCTGACCAGGCAGCATCGTCTCAACTACAGGTGATGGTGGCACAGATCAGGATGTCGGAGGAAGCGTCGGAAAGACAGAGAGACAGTCTTTTATTAACCTGAAATCAGTGTGGAGACCTACTATATGCTACTTGGTATAAAGCGTGAACGTGATCCGGATTCTCAACACTAATGTCAGTCAAGTCAGTGCCTCTACATGTTTCAGAGACGACGCGTTTGGGATAGCACTTCCAACAAACTACAAACATTCATCTATAGCTGCCTACATCCACTCGATACTGAAGATCAGATGGTTAAAATAATAAGCAACAAAAAACTCTGACTGACTGACTGGCTGGCAACGAACCAATCAAAAACCTATCACCGAACGAATAAGCAGAAGAAAATGGAGATGGACTGTATTGGGCATTCACTGAGAAGGCCGGTTTGGTTGACATCACGCACCAGGTCAGGGACTCGAGTGGAACCCGAAGGGGAAACGATGAGTTGTGTCCGAGAGTGACATGGAGGAGATCGTGTAAGGAAGAAATAAAAGGCTATGGGGAGTTGTGGAGCCGGATTAAAAAGACTGTAGAGAAGAGAGTGAAATGGCTATTTGCTACTGAAGCCTTATTTTCGACTAGGAATCCAAGGGACAAATAATAATAATAATAATAATAATAATAATAATAAGGGAAAGTCAATATTGACTGATACATTTAAATAATGAACTATATAATAAGGAGCTCACCACATTAAATACTGCCCTTGCAAACTGCATTACTTCTGGTGGTGTTGGCGCCGCACCAACCATCACAAAGCATACGCGTCCACCCAACATTTTCCTAATTTTTCTAAAGCATAATTCGTCCAACACACTTTGATGATTAAATTTCCCTCTGAAAGATATACGAGTAACAGATCATATGTATGGTGATATGAATGCACAGTGAACTTAGTAAAAAACACTATTATTCTGCAAATATGTTTATTCAACTTAAGGAAGTGAGATAATTGTAAATACACCTAGGTGATATGGAATCTGCTATTTCGTTGGGGGTATAAAATATAAAATATTCTAATAATAGCTTTAAAAATTCATGACTACTCAACACTTGATTTCTTTTTGCCCTTATACTTAACACAGTTATCAAGAGTCAACAACACTATACTACAAAGTGGTGTATGAGTATGTATTCAAAGTCATCCCATTTATTTCAATGAGATTGAAATTATCTTTCGAAATGGCGTAGAATACATGTAGATCAGGTGGATGATCTTGGTTGTGTTGTGTTCTCTGGGCTAACTTCTTCAATCGTGAAGCTTTCATTGTCTTTATAGACAACATCATCAACACCCATTTCAATATGAAGTGGGCTGTCAATATCTCTCCGTGAGTGATTTAGTGGCTTCCCATAACAAACTCGTTTTGTGATTGGTTGCTTCCTTTGGTCGTATCATCGACTGCATAGATTTTCCTGTTACCTGTTTATCAGTCTGACTTCTGACCTGCTTGCTGTTTATCACTTTTCTCATTGGTTGGTAGATTGTGTCTATGTCTACACATCTATTGATTGCTGGCTGACTGACTGACCTGAATGACAAGCTTCTAAGAATTCTCGAACATCATTTGTGTTTTCTCTTTCCAGACCATGCTCCATGACTCATCTGCAACTACTCCTAGTTTAATGATAGACACTGAAGTGGTGGAGTGTGTCGACCACCTCACTTACTTCAAACTTCAGTTATATGAGATTATGCATAGGCCAAGCAACACAGGCTCATGGACTATGATTTGAATCCCAATCCGGTATGAGTAAATGAACACAAGTTCCACATCTGTGTAGTGCTAAGCAGTATTGTCCCTTACCTGTGATATGCAAGTTCATGGGCGACAGATACGTCTACTTTAATATCGGCAAATTCCCTGATGTTGCACACTAGAATCAAGTCTGTATACGCTGATAAGTATGACAAACAACTGGGGAAACGTAGAAGGAATGGGTGTATGAATTTCCCACCCAACACCCACGGTAATTCTAATGTTCACCATTATCTCAAGCAGTGAAGTGTTTAAAATATTCCTACGATCGTACCAAAAATAATCAAGGTTTAAGGAGTATCAAAAGATGTCATTCCCGTCATTTACAGTATTGTTTACTGGATTACGTCTCGGACATCATTTATTGTCCATAGTCATATCAAGATAACTACACAACTTTGACATATCCTCTATGTGGTCCTAATTTCCTCGTCTCTTTGTGATACGGGTAGTAAGATTTTCCATATATCCGGAACAGGTGCTGAGTCATTCCTGTTGCCGCATGTGTTAGGTGTTGAGTCGATAAAGAAAGATTGAGTTACCAATCTCTCCCTCCACCCTGCTACGTTAGTTTTAAGAATTTTGACCCTGACCTATGTATTCTGTTGTGTGGTTGTGTGTAATTGCATGCATAGTTATGACTTAGCTTTTTTCTAAGTTTCTTACCTGCCAATTTTGACCTAGCTAGATTTTTTGTGTTCCGATAGCCTTATTGACCCTACTCGACTACTTTGACCTATGTATTTGACCACGCAATCGTTGCAAATAAACTAAGCAGAATAATTTAGTTTGCCAAATCGTAGCAACAATTATGAGGTCAAATACATAGGTCAAAGTAGTCGAGTAGGGTCAATAAGGCTATCGGAACACAAAAAATCTAGCTGGGTCAAAATTGGCAGGTAAGGAACTTAAAAAAAGCTGTCATAACTATGCTCGCAATTACACACAACAACACAACAGAATGTATAGGTCAGGGTCAAAGTTCTTAAAACTAACGTTGATGGTGATTGGAGGTTGTTGTTGTTGTTGTTGGTTGGGTATCATCATCACTGAATGAAAAGTTGACATTAGATGTGTTATATATGGACATATCTCAGTGTCTAGTGTTTCGGGTGAGCATATTATAACAAATTATCTTAAATTAATATACCTTTTTTGTTCTGCCATTTTTATCTTCAAAATTCGATTGTAAAGTTTTGTTTTCAGCTTTGATTCACTCAAGACTTTTTGATATTTTGTGTACATACGAGAAAGTACACGTGGGACTGCAGCAAACATAGTCGGTCTAAGGGTTTTTGCATCTGCCATTAACCCATCGAATGCTTCAGTTAAAAATCCCAATCGACCACCAACCAAAAGAATAAAAGACTATAAAAAGAAATAACCATATGAAAGTAATCGAATGAAGTGTATATATATTAGAATTATACATGTATATTTTTAAAACTATAGTCAATAGCATGCATATTGAAATTTAAGTAAAAAGTGACTAGAAAAATCAGGATAAGATTCTTTTCAGGACTATAGACATGTTAAAACCACATTGAATAGGTGCACGCTGATCTATCATGGATTAAAATGTCGTATATAAATGCCGACTACCTCTAATCATCTAAAACATGAAATTATTTCAATTGACTATGAATGGTGAATAACCTGAAAACATCAGTTCACTGTTTTTGGTCAACAAAAAAAAACCCTATGGCGATGAATATATGTCATTTATAAGATACCTGTAAGGGAGAATAACAATACTATATGGCTATCAGTAAGAATTTACGGTTAATTGATATAGGAGGTCAACTTCCTAGTTCTAATGCCGTTCCATTGAAATATGTTTGAAATACCAGCTAGTAGCATTTGACCTCATAAAATAAATGGAACTGATAGCATAGTGTATAAATTCACAAGGAATGCTGAAAAATACCACATAGCAAACAACTTAGACGCCTTAGCTACAAAGTTCAATAGCTTACTTTATACACTGATACCAACAGAAATTTTACAATTTCTTTGCAAGCATTTTAAAACTTTTGAAAGAATAAGTAACCAGAAACTATACACTAATCCAGTGATCACTAACTATTTACTGTCTTATCAACCACATAAACTAATCAATTAGGTAAATAAAAGTGTTTTTGGGAGGAATTTATTTCATTAAAAGGAAACTATGGATGGGTTATATTCACTTTAATAAATGTAAAGAGTATGAAAAGTACACGAATCAGTTATCAGTGGATAATCGGTATAACTGTCTAGTACATATACTGCCTACTTAGCATAGACTGAAGGTTATTGATCAGTAATGAATACTAAAGCCTAGGCAGTTATATCAATTATCCCTGATGACCAATCCATCCACACAACCCAATTCTATAGGCAGCTACTCATGCTTTAAATAGCTTGGTATTAAACTATCTCACTCTAGTACTTAATGATGCATGCATAAGTCAACGAGATGACTAGACTAATGAGTGTTAACCAGCCAGCATCGAAACTACGCCCAAAGCTTCCTATCAATTGACATTACAAATATCTAATACCAAAATATGACAAGTGTAATTGGCAGCATATATTAAAGATTATATGTAAATAAATATTGTCATATTTCTCCTATGAAAATCATTATTTTCCTCTGAACCAAATGTACTGATAATTAATTACTGATCAATATTAGCATAAGCTAAGTAAATCATGAAAGGTTCATCAACAGCTTTTATAATAAATAATCAATATTTCTGAATTTGAGAATATATTTTATGATTTTTCTTGAAAACAAAGAGATTATTCAGTAGATATTATCCCTATACTAATAGTAATAATAATAATAATAATAAGATGAATGAAGATATTACCGAAATCAGTTGTTCCATAATATGAGCCAATGGTAGATAAGAGAGATGAGTAGAATTGGTAAAATTCATCTATAATAAAAGAAAAAAAACCCACTGTAAATGTATCTAGAAGAAGATAGAATTAAGTAATTGTATTCTTCATTACCTTGAATATACCAATGAAAATTTACTACGTTATAATGCAAATAATATGTATTAAATTGCCACCATTATCTCAGCAAACAATTTATCGTTGTCGACTTCACTGAAACTGATAACTGTCTTTCTGTCTTATAGGAAGGAGTCAGTATTCTCCTTTGAATATCCTACATCAGTCAGTGTTTATAGGGATTTATTAGAAAACTAATTACATGAGAAGAGAAGTATAATATGATGTCTAAAATATATCCACACTTCTGTGTTTAATTTGCATCCAAACTACTGAAGGTCTTCATCTAATTGATAGCGGTATTTCAGGAACTCCAGCTGGTTTGTCATGCATATATTTACACTATTCATACAAATGACTAGTAACTTCATGGACACAGAATACAAAAACAGGTTAAGTTACCCCCATTTGTACCCCTTAAAACAGAGTTTGAATAGAGTCCTAACACTCAATTGATATAACCGGAATTCTGATATATATATATATATTGTTGAACACTTGAACATAAGCCTACATTACATGCTGCTCAATTTCTCGTAATATGGAAAGGTAGTAAAACAAACAGCTGTACATGAACGTTAATTATACGCATAGGTGGCCTACAAGTTTTGACAGTATTACGGAAAGTTGATATCAACAATTTTGTTAACTTATTCAACCAAAGAAATATAAATATAATCGAGTGATTTTATAGAAATTTTCAAATAAATCCGGTTTTTGAATTTAGTCAATGATTTCTGGCTTCCGGACGCGTCGAATAATCCAAAGATGCCATCAGATTCAGCTACAGTTTCTAATCAGTATTTTGTTATATTTTGCGTAGCATTATAGTTAACGCAGAGTGTTAAACTATCTCCAGTTGATTTTCCATTAGATTCCTTTCATGAAACGGTTTGGGTTAATTAATCTGTACCTATTAAGATAACTAACAATAGAATACGATGACGGTTAGATATTTGGTAAGCATTTTATATGACAGTAACTGAGGTCCTCTCCTCCTTAACAGAGCTTTTTAATATCTATCTTCAAGCCCTTCTACCTGACCCTTTGACGGTGGATGAGAATGCAATATAGCGCTGTTCCATGAATTTCTTCAAATAGCACGAAACAAACTGCATACCACCACATTTTACCAAGGTCTCCGAACCGAGTAAAAAAATTTGACACCATTAACATTTTAACCTTTGTTATCCTTTAAGTGTTTATTAGCTCATTCACTAAAATCCAATAAGTATTTTTAATTGTAATTCCGATGGAATATACCTGATTTTCTAAGAAATTTTGTCGTAATGATGGATAGTCGTTACCAGTAGAATCCATGACGCACTTTTCATCCTATTTGGGACTCCTCATCCGAATGTACCTACCTCCCAGTGAGCAGTGTTGTTAGCACTAGACCGATCGCTTCAGATGCTAGGACGTTATCCACTAGGTTACTGAGTCATGAAAGTGCGTCCTTGTGCGATGGCTGTAGTTTTTATGTTGTTGCTTGTACACAAGCAGGACTATAAAAAAAGTCATCTAGTAGAAATGCAGATTGCCTTTTTAACGACCGTTTTTTATAAACACCTAAAGGACCTAAACTGCTTCTGATGTATGTGTTGACATATTTGAATATGAAATGTTGTTATAATCTTCCGTCCGCATAAATTTTGAGTCTGCTACAAATAAAACCGAATGATTAGTCTAATAATCTTGTCCATTCCATTTAGCTTAAACATGGATCCACCTAAAGTCGACCTGTCAAATGAAATAATTCATTCAGTGGCATATTGCAGTAAGTGATAATACAATGTGGCAGACCTCTAGATGCACTGTAAACGGTCTGAGAAGTGCGGTGAATTAGAGGGCTGCTGACAGACTGTATACTGGATGACGAATCCACTGCTTGACACAGTATAGAGTTACAAATCGACTTGTCATCCAATTACTAATAAAGAGAAAAATTTTCTTCTAGAGGCCAATTTGCTCCCATGTGAACGCAATCATCATATGCGATTTGGATTGCTTATGTTTAAACTTCTTAAAACTATGTCTTCAGTTGACCATATCAACGCTTATATTTGCAGGGGTTCCCTCTGCAACTTCTACGTGAGGATCTAGTAAAACGACAATATGTAAGAAGATAAACTCTTACGAAATGTCACGTACAACATTGTCAAAATGCGTAATGAGGTTTTGAATTTGAATGAACATTATTTGACCTAATGGGCGTTTGGATACAACTGAGCAACCAGATGACACTGGAGAATGACTTTCACTATCAACCGCACCTGTAACGTGTTTCGGAATGTTACTCATACTCATTGAGAATATATTCAAGCATCACATTGCAGCACTATTCAAACTAACTAGGAATACCAGTGCGCATACTCTAGTTGAGTCAAGATTTTAAACAATCGGAAGGCACTTGAATCGATATTGGGATATGGATAAAAGTTAAAGATGCATACATTCTTGGTTAAGGATTCAAAGTTTTCTGAACCAGTTGAATACAAACAAGTGTTCTCCTGTATAAACTTAGAATTCTGATTGTTTGAATAAGGACAAAGTCGGTGTATATGTGCTGTTCAAGCGTTCATAACTTTCGTCGAATCATCCAGCTTCGTGAGTCAACATCAAATAAGACCTGATACTAATTAAACCCATATATAAGTACGTGAATCCATGTGCATAGCTTTCAGCTTGACGATTTCTTTATGGACAGAAAATCGTTGAAAAACCTTTAGACTTATAGAACTTAGAGTTACATTCATGTCAAGCAATATAATTTAGATGACCAGATATCTGATAAATGCAGTTTTGTGCGTACCAAAGTTCAGACTGTTCTTCTCAATTTTTCCACATCTGGATTTATTTGAAAATTGAATGTTTACGTACACAATCTCAAACAGGACTCCAGTCAAATGCCTTCTACTACACTATATAAACAGAATCTCCACTTTCCCACAAACTAACAACCTAAATTAGGTTGCCAAATAGCCTACCAAAAGATTCTCCTCTGAACCTGTTCAGACCTATGCTAGTAATAAGATATTTGTTCAACTGACTTGAAATAAAACTCAAATTCAGAATAACCTTGACCTCAATTTACCGAAAATTACGCAAGGATAATAAGGAAAAACAGGTTCCTACTAGTTCAACTGTCTACCCTAGCCTAAAAACAAATAAATTTTATTATCGATCCAATCAACAATGGACCTCCAGGTTGAGCACCTAGCACAACACTAGTGTCAAGAATACTGAACGATGCCACACGGTACATCATTGATTCCACAAAAAAAGTGCTTTCTAGGTGTACAGGTGAAGGGTTCATTTAGAGCACTTCAGGGAATTTTGTAAGAAGTGTTTTCAGGTTGAGCATACATTAATAGTAAGGCTCTTCAGAGTTTCAGCTAAAACTATCTGTTGTCGTATTTCTACCAAGAGGTGAGGCGTGAAGGCGACAAGCTTGAAAGCTATGCATAGTTTCAGAATAGCTATTTTAGATGCTCACTAGAGGGTAGGTTTATGGAACCATTTGTTAACCAGAAATCAAAATAATACAGAAAGGACAGAATTCCACTTATTGGTAGCAGTTGAATGGAACAGGGATACAGAATTAAACACCATAACAATAACAAAATATAGTTCATATGTTCATATATAGTGAGAAAATTATCAGTTGGGTACAGAGTTTGTAATAAACAAGATCTAACATTACTTAGCATAGTCACTTGAAGAACGCAGTGACATCCAGCCATAAAATTGCGACAATTGTAATTTCAATCTCAACTTCGCTACATTAGTGATTTTCACCGTGTGCAAACGGTACCAGTCATAAAGTCAAATTAAAATAAATTATTGCTAATAACTGAGTTACACTTCTTGAAAATTACCGACTTGCTTTTCTGTAGTCGAATAACCAAACAGAAACAAAATCTGTACTGGGTGATGATTGAAGGTGAAATAAATATATGGACCGCGGCCGGATTCGAACCATCAACCGCCGAGTTACCGGCCTGGTGCTCTACCAACTGAGATTCGAGGTCCGATTGGTGACCAGAATTTTATTTCACTTCAATCACCAAGGGTTTTGCCCGACTACCATATGAATTAGTGACGCGTTACTACCGCTTGATCGCATTCACACTGGCTACCTAGTCAAGACTTCTTATCCCAATCCAAATCTAACTAAATCAGAGAGAGGGAGCATCATATTGATTATGATTTGACTATCTAGCTCAGTTGGTAGAGTAGCGGGTAGGCTACTCGGTGGTCGATGGTTTGAATCCGGCCGCGGTCCAGATTTTCATCTCACCTTCAATCATGATCCAGTCTGCCAATCTACGGCTATCTTAGATAGTCAAATCATAATGAGAAACAAAAACTTTAAATTTCTACACCTTATATGCACTTGTGATCAGTAAGTGATACGTCACATTCAATTGGCTCAACGCATATTGTTATTTTAAAAAGTAAGATTAACAATTCTATGATGAACATAGCTTCATGGAGGCCTAAAGTACCTCAGATGTATATATTACAAATCAGTTATATTTTGAAAAGGCTTTTCTGAGACATTCACCTACTGATGACTTATGCAGAAATTACTTTTGTCGTGTAAAATATCACAACTATACATAAAGAGTAAAGAATTATGCGTTACAGTGAATTAGTAGAAACTTCCACATAACCTAACATGATAAGTCACTCGTACCTTTGATGACCCTTTGATTTTTGGTGGGTTATTTGCCCAATAAGGGTTTGATTGTAGACAGGTATGGGGATTAGAAAAATCAATAGCAATCTATTAATTTTATAAGGATTTACATTCATTTTCATTTAGCTGCTGGTAGACTGCTTATTCTGATTTTTTCTGTTAAAGTTAATAGTGAATCGAAAAAGTAAAATTCACTTAACAACTTTGTGCACATTCATGCAATAAGCAATGAGCCATACACCTATTGTATGAGGGCAAATGATAATACTACCTGATTGCCAAAATCTCGGATAGGTGGAACAGTGTTCGAATCAACGACCCACTGATTGAAAGTTAACTCCAAAAACCATTCAGCTATAAGTCAGTAGCGGTAAAACGGCAGCTACAAAGATAAACTAAAACAGTCAGCAATAAAATAGATTTAAGCTGAAATAAGCTTTTTACACACAAATTTACCTTGAATTCTGTCATTTCAAGTAAAGTAATAATGGAACCCACAAATTGACCATGCTGAACCATAACACCCTTGGGTAAACCTGTGTAGAAATATCATTTTAAAAAAATGGAGAATGCTTAAATAACAGGTGAAAATCAAATGTATTTTTATTCTACTCACTCAGAAAGAGAGTTGACAGCCAAAGTTAAGGAAAAAAGTAGGCACATGCATATTATAAATATCTTTATCTTTCACAGAAATTTCAAAGATTTCTTGTGAGATTGTATTGTCGACAACATGTACTCATATCATCATCATCATCATCAGGATCATCATATGACCAGGCATTACTGACTGCGCAACGGTCCAAGTTTCCACACCTCATATCAGCACATCAAGTAACAAGGCAATATAACGGAAGATGAAGAGGGAAAGAAAGAGAATGGAAGAACGAGAAAATGATGAGATGAAGTACAACGGTTAAGATAAGAATAATGTGTGTATACATCTGCGCCATCGACATCACTTCTCTGCCATATTACCTAGAGTCTCCAACCACTGATTTCTCTTGCCCCACACACCCCAACTGACTAGTCTGCATCGTCCTACATGGCTAAAACCAACGGTCAACGACTTCATACATTGACCCTATGTTTTAGTTTAGCTGCGCTGAGCCTTTTCCAACCTGATCCTACTTCGACCAACATTGTGTGATGAGGCAGACGGTGATTAGGCATGTGTAACACATGTCCCAACCATCTGAGTTGATGAAGGTTCACACCTATGTCAACTGACATACCTTTCTGCCTAAGACTTAGCGTCTGACTCTGCGTTACTCACGTGGTGACAGGAAGACACATGGCCTATACTAAGAAGGCACTTGTGGTCGAACACATGAAGCCTTCTCATTTCTTCTACCTTTAATTGGTATGTTTCACAGCCGTCGAGTAGATTAAAGGGGACTACAGCTCAGTACACTAGATCTTTAATAAACAACCGGATATCGCGGTGGCGCCACAAATGGCGTAAATTAGCGAAAGCTAACCGCGCTTACGGTAACGTGGATATAATGAATCAGCTTTGGTAAGTGTTAACTCTATCTAACCCCTTATATAAACTAATTTGTACAAATTTGTTCGACCATTACTAGTATTACATAAGGTTACTTCTATTTTCAACTGTTGAAATACTAACATTCCAATAATTGATTAAATTGCTGTCCCAATATGTTTTAAAAAACCCATCAGAGTCTTAGGCAAACATATTCTTCAACATTCTCCACATCATTTTATGGATAGATTACGTAATGATAAATAGTATCTCGGTAAAACCAACAATGTATTGTAGTTTAAAGCTTTGTGGTGATTGACTGAAATGGTTGTGAGCGTACACTACTGAGGTGCTTCAAACTAGAAGAAATAGCTGTCCATTGTCCCAGGTTTTTATTAATTCTCCAATTAGTGTCAATCGGCGATGAACAATTTATTGATCACACGTTACGTAATGATAAAGAGGAAGTCGGATTCTGAAAGAACTTTACACCAAGATGAATCACCACAGCTTTTATTAAAATATTAAATTCATATTCCTAGCTGACTTACTACCTCTAGCCTTATTTGACACGTTGACGCTATTCACCTCGAGAAAGCTATAAATGCATTATACAACTATATTGTAAGAAAGCGATTACGTACAAAGCTTGGTTTGGAATGAATTCATTAGAAATTGCTAGGGATAAGGTGAAGTAGAAACACGCACAAAACTATGTTAGTTACACTATCAAATGTTTTTAGTGATAGCCAGGGGAACAGAAAAAGAACACTTCTTCCTATTTACGACGTATAAGCTAAGTGACCATCTCTTCCAGTGGATGTAGTTGTTCCTCCTAAAACTCCAACCCGAATCCTGCCGATTTAAATCCTAAGATAATTACTTCCAGTGTCCTTCTTTGTTATTTTTCTCAACAGCATAGAAAGAAATCAATATAAGTAAAAGGATAGGGAAATGAATAAAGTGATATGCGAGGGATGAAATTAGTACTACATCTACGATAAGGATAATTGGAGATAGAAGAAAAGTGGAATTGCGATAAATGTTTACCAGTGCTTTAAATACAGGAAGGTAAGTCAATACTATATAATGGTGTTAAATACACTGTAAACAGAGATACATACACAGTTAAAAATTCATCACGGACTGATATCAGTTACGGAACCACTGAAAATCTGGGAGTTCTGAACAGCTGTTTCGTCCCAGTATAGAGCTCTTCAGCAGAACGCACCCGTATATATAGCGAAACACTATGGACTGACAAGATGGTATTTGTTCGCTTGAATAATCTGCTACAAGAAACGCTGCTTATGCATTTTATCAAAATGACAATATATCTTAATTGGTTTAACACTTCTAAATGAAAATAAATTTATTTAAATGTATAAAAAAGAAAATTCCCTTATTATATAGTTATAAATTACGAAAAAAAATCATACCAGTAGTTCCACTGGTGTAGTTTATCATGAAGAGATCAGTTGGTAGAGGTTCCTTTAAAATAAAATAAAAATTATTGAAATAAATATTTTATAATTGGCAGAAAGTGTATACTTGATTTTCTGAAACAAACAATTTTATGGTACAAAGAATTGCTATGATAACATTCTCTGCATACCAAGTCTGCTAGTATATACATTTCATTCTGATTCAATCCCTGAATAATAATAATAATAATTGATGGCGGTGGTAACACAGGCTTGTGTGATGTTAATTATTTCAAAGTACCGATAGATAACGTGAACGAGTGTATACAGTCAACTTCTATTGAAAAGTATTCACCTCCAATAAATATAACCAAAAGAGGTTAATGCATTCTTGATATGGTTAATTAGTAATTTGCCGATTCAATTAAAATCAACAATATAATATGCCTAACTATTCACGACAGAGTAAACACCTACACAAGTGCCAATGTATTTTTAGCTTAAAGGTAAAAGTTCTCTTATGTTCTGAGAAATTGCTCATAATTGTTGGTATTGTTGACAAACTAGTTATTTTATATACGACAAGATCAATTAGGCAATATATCTTAAAAACGTTAAAGTATTAGCATAACAACAGTATTTTGCTCATATACTTTGAGTCAACTATGGACTGAATCATATAGGGAAAGAAACTACAGTACATTTTTGTATAAATGTGTCATAAGTCACAGCAGAAGTGGAGAAATAAAAAAAACCTAAAACTTTTAACATTCAAAGGACATGAAAATAACTAGGCTTAAGGAGATGCTTGGAATATATTCACTCCATAGTGATAGATTTGTAGTGATATCACTGATGGTCCTCATCTACTTGATATCATCATCTTAAGAACCCCAGACTGGATTTCTACACACTTCTCTACTCAACTCAGGATAATGAACAGTAACTCTATGGATACAAAGGATGGAAACATGTAAAGTTATTTCCATCTGTATCTTCCTTCATAACATAATTCAAACGGAATGATGATAGCAAGTATTTTTACACTGAGAACCACAAGTTCTCAGTAAGTCAAGTTCAAGTGCATAACATTGAATAGCAAACCATACTTTCTTAACAGTATGTTCCCACTCAACAACACCTACAGACTTATGAAGTATGGTGCTGCTTCCACGTAAAGAAACATCATCTAAAAGCTGACAATGAGTAAACATCCTATAAATATAGTCTTATGCTTATCTAGAAACTGACATTTATATTCAAGGTAAAATGACAGGATAAAACAACACAGCTTATATGTAAATATGAAAACAATCATATAATGAGAATGAACTAAATAATAAGGGGAGACATAATAGATGGTACTGTGGAATGATAATGAAATGCCGCATATCACTTTTACTTCATTATAAAGCCCTACAGCAATTGTTTGTTTCATCATAGGATTTTGCGAGCAACGTCAGAAGCTATTTATCAGCGGCTGTCAGTAACCAAGGTAGGTTAATATACCTCTCATTCCCTTTAGTCATATTCCTCGTATATGGTATTAGTTTCAAATCATAGTTTCTTAACTCTGTCAAATGAAACCACCGATATAGTGATGAGTGCTAAGCACTAGTTTATTTCAGTTTACTTCGTTAGACATACCTACATCGAGTGAAGGTGATAAATAGGACTGTGTTGGCAGAAGCTGTAAGGACTTTTCAAGAGGATAGGAAGATTCCATTTGTTGTTTGCCGTACTCGGTAGTTCTGAGGATATTTCTTCACGTAAACTACCTTTAAGAGTAACTCATTAAATAAACTACACTATAGCTTAGTTACATACATATAACAGCTGAAACGTGTCACTTAAGGAGTTGATTTCATACTCTTATCTTTAGTGACTACACTGTAATCACAATAACAATGAAGACTGAAAATATGTAGTTTTCTCAACGGGATAAATAAAAACTGTTCGACATCAGTATATTAAACTGTAGTTTGTTGAATATTAGTCCACGAAATTGACAGTGTATCTCAAACATTCGAGAAAATATAACATATATTCAAAAGGTAGTAAGAGAAAAGAAGATGGAACATCATTCTTCATCATTAATTCATTCAGAAACAAACTCAAAGCATAGATCACAATCAGAAAATTTTAAACAGGAGTAGAAAGAAAGAAAAAAAAATGTAGACTTACCATTTTCGGTACAAGGCTATTCATTCCCAATTTCTAAAATCAATTTGAATGCATAATTATTAAAATTTACAAAAACATTAAGTAAAAAATGTTTTTATATGGATCATGCCTTCAGTTAAGCATTTATTATGCTTCCTTGCATTTTTATCTCACTAGTGAATATTTTAAGAGGATTTCAAAAACTACTGGAACTACAACAAAATTGAATGATTTTGTAGCTTAAGTAGAAATGGATTAGATTGGATCGACACTGAGAAGACCATTTGAGGACATTACGCATCAGGCCAGACCCTCAAGTAAAAACCCAAAGGGGAAACAATGAATTGGTCGTTCGAGGGTGAAATGAAGATGTTGTGAGAAAGAAATAAGAGCTAGTGGGCAGTCGTGGAGCCAGTTTAAAAAGGCTGCAGAGGAGAGAGAGAAATAGCTATGTACTACTGAAGCCCTATGTTCGACTAGGAATCCAAGGGACAAATAATATTAAAAAAATTAACTTAATTAACTTATAAAATTGTGTCCGGTTCCTTAATATTACTTTTGAAAAGAAATAATTTCTTTGTAAATATCACTATTGTTCAAGGTTGTCAACAGAACTATCAAAAAATACAATCAGATGTTACTGCATTTTCTATGCAATAGACAATACTTGAGTTTGGTTACAACCAAAACAAAACAGAAACACATTCACGGAACACTACTACATATAGATCTATGAAATACTGTGATAAAAGTTATAGAATGTAAGAAAAAGCACATGAATGGAATATAGACTATTAAAGTAAAGGTATTGCGATGAATGCAGCGGTTCAACTGCGACCGATTCCTAACTGTACTACTGAATCTTCAACCACCTGTTGCCATTCTTTCGTGAGTCCAACTAAAGAGGCGGGCACCTGATTAAATGGCTTAAACCAATAGTCAGAGACTTCAGACACTTGTACCATAAATCAGTCTTCACCTTTCATCTAATCTTGCACTAAGAATATGAATGTGTTCAATCTCGAGGTTTGTGAAGGTTTATTTATCCATCTTGGGTTAGTATTCATCATGGACTGACATCAGTTGAAGAACCATTGAAAACCTAGGAGCACTGGACAGCTGTTTCATCCTGGCACGGGATTCCTCAGTAATATGCACTCGTGACCTGTGGATCTAGCCAGTCGAAAGTGAAACGGGTGAGAACTGAAGACCTTGAATGATAGAAACGCTATACTGAGAATGGACTAAAGTTGAAAACTGTGAACCACTGGTTTTTGACCCAATGGACGAATGGTTAACGCGTTCCCTGTGAAACCTTAAGGTCATGAGTTTTATCACTAGCTGGGTAGTGGGTACGTTCTGGCTGAGGAGTCCCATGCCATGTCTAGTACTCCCAGGTTTTCAATGGTTCCTCAACTGATGTCAGTCCGTAATGAATACTGTCTCAAAATTAAAATCCCCACTAACACCAAAGTACATAAACAATAGAAGAACATTAAGTATTGTCAAAATCCAATGGGAATCGCAGTTACTTCACATTTATTGTAAAAAGATTAACATACATAAAATATACTGCATTACCAATGTTACTTACTGCAAAGTCGTCAAACGAGAAGATCATGACATTCGAACTGTAACGAAACCTGACCTCATTAAATTTGTCATCACGTGAAACAATGATTAAACACTCAATAGATGATTCTAGATGGTCCATCACCTGAAGGCTTCTGTACCTGATGAGCACATTAAGCATTTCATTTTTGCTACAAAAAAAATAAGGTTGAAAGATTAATTTGCAGTAAATTGAAACGGTAAACTTTATTTGTTCAACTTAGAGACTAATTAAAAGGTTATGTTTAATAAAACCATGAACTGTAGGCTCAATCAAGTCGGGTGCGAACCCTAACCCTCACAAACAGCATTGAATATTGGTCGGAACACATGAAGAATTTACAGAAATAGAAAAATTTGAATCACCCAGCAGATGAATGGTAACATGGTAGCAGCGAGACCTGGGCTGGATCTTCCATGGGGTAATGTTTTGCTGAGGGGTCCCATTTTCGTATAAAACAGTTGTGCAGTGTTCTCATATTTTCAGTGATTTTTCAAGTGACTTTAGGCTATAGTGAACACTACCTTGAAATTTCTCAGTTGCTGATTTTCGTTTTTATGCATGAAGATTGTAAACCATCTAGTTCAAACATACCCCGTTTATATAGGCTGTTGAAGGTGCATAAAGACAGCCTTCCTCTTTGCCCAGTATTGGATATGCTTAATTCACTGGCGAAGTGGCTTGCTAAAATTCTTTAACCTGTGAGATTAACTCTGAGTAAATATAGTCTTCCCGATACATTTTAGGTTTGTTCACTGCATCGAAGAAATCAGCGTATCGTTTAAGCGTATGTTATCGCTTAATGTTTCTTCTTTATTTACTAATGTTCCACTTGTTGAGACTGTTATCTATGCGAGTACATTCGTTATAATAATATTAACATTGGATTACCTACCCAAAATAACTAATATTAATATGTACGTTTAATGTACAGTTCAGATTTAATGATGTGATTTATAATCAGACGGACGGAGTCACAGCCCTGTCCCGGCTGATATCTTAAAGAAATAATCTCGGGACTTTATTTGTATAAAAGGTACATGGGTGATACTTTTCTTATTTGTGAAGAAACATCTTCAGTGGACAAGCTGTTTAGATGTTTCAATGACTGTCACGCGTCCATTAAATTCACTGTAGAGAAAGAGTTAAATTCAACATTCCACTTTCTAAACGTAATGTTAAAGAGAAGGGATGATGAGTCAATCCAAAGGTTAGTCTATCGAAAACCATCTGGACCGGAAACTTAATTAATTTTAATAGTTGGGTACCGCTTGGTTGTAACAAAAATCCCATTCACTCGCTGTGTTCCAGAATCTATAAAATACGTTCAGAAGACACGGTGGGATGTTGAAATTGGAACTTTTCAAACACTATCGAATAAGGGATACTGTAAAAGATTTATTGATAAAAATCTGAAGAAACGAACCACACCTCACTTCAATTTGGTATACTTCTCTTTCATTATTATCATTATCATCACTTTTCACTTCGCTGATACCATTTGACCCATATTTCACTTTTTAATATCAATTCGTTCCCTATTCAACGACCCATTTTGCATGTTTCAGTTAAATTATCATCATTTTACAATTATCCGTTAGCACTTGTCTCTTATTTCACCACTTTTTGTCGCTTCGTTCCTTATCAGTGACCCATTTCTTCTACATGAACAAATCCCACCACCAACACCAATTGTATACTGACTGAGCAAATTTTCACTGTAATTATCTGTCATTTCACCGATTTATAAGTATGGCTGAACAGCTTGATAATGAAGTCTTTGAAAAGAAGTATTTCTTCTTAACTGATACATATCTTGTTCTTCTTCAAGTAAAAATGGGTATATTTCATCAGATTTTCGTCTTCCTGAAAACTTACAGCTAATATCATCTAAGTTAGTGAGTGAAAAATGTTTTACCAAGTATCCGAAAAATGGATCACTTCATTTTTTCTTCTAGTATTTTCATTCTCATTATTCTGTGCCGGTTTTAGTCCCAATATTTCCTTCATAGTACTTCTTAAATATCTTACTATTTATAGTGACGATGGATAGTGGCCAACAGTGAAATCCAGGATGCGCATTTCGTCCTCTTTACGACTCATCAGCTGGATGTACCAACCAGCTGTCCCCATCAGGATTCAAACTCAAGAAAGATCGCTTCAAAAACCAGAGCGTTACCCATTAGACCACGGAGCCATGATAGCCACCTCTAGTACGACGAGTATAGTTTTAGTGTTATACCGTAGTTGATTGGACTGAATTGATAGTGGCTACCAGTGGGATCCAGAATGCGCATCCTGGATTCCAATGCTAGCCACTATCTATCACTGGATTACCAATGGCTCTGCTGTATTCTTCGGTGAATTGTCTTTCTATACAACTTAAAAGTTGAGGAGAAGCCTAAACGGATGCAGATTTCTTTTAGGTTCCACGTTATACTATCTGAATGAGTAAAGCTTATGCATTTCATTTAGGCTGAAGTAATCCCTTGAAATGATCTCTGAAAGGATATAAAAATGCTTTTGAAGGATAAACTAAACGTTATTTCAACCATATAGGTAAGTTTAAATATACTCCCTGAGTAATATAATCGTGGCGCTCAACTTCTCTCGGGACATTCGTAATAACTATGGTCTGGATGTTTATAATTTAGTTATTTCAACTCTTTCAAGCAATAATATTTTGTACAGTACTTATAAGATATTATGGTAGATCACAGGTAAATTAACCAAATGGAATTTCTCTTTAAAAGACTCACTTTGAAGTAAAATATGTTGCATAGCTTCATTGCCCAGTGTTGAATATAAAGGTACCACAGTATAACCATATGATGCACAGGCTTGCTGCATTATAATCCACTGAATGTTGTTTTGAAAGTAATGCAAATAGAGATCAGTGTTGGTACTAAATAATTAACGGTTATTTTAGATAATAATTGTTTATTATTTTAAACGGTCGAAGGGGAAAAGTGATCTTCGCATGTTAATGCATAGTTTCTTAAATAGACAGAACAGTCATTAAATGTAGCACCTAAAGACAGACAGGGGTTTGTGTAACTTTTAGAACTGCAAAAGAAATGCTCAAGTTGAAGTCATAACAAAAGAATAAGTGAAATGAAAGCAGTTAGGTTGAACCTCATACACCATACAAGTTGATCACTAATCCCCGACCGATAGCTGCTACCTTGACGTGGTGGTCGGGCTTGCATATCACAATGACCCAACGAGCTATGCTGGTGGAACGCTTGTTCCCTCGAGGTCCTACCATACCAGAAAGGTCTGTTGGGTAGTGGTTAGACGAAAAGCAGTTACCGTTATAGTGTAAATTGCTACACTATGATGGGGGTCTGAGGGCGAAGTCGTACTGCTGCTAGCTGGATGGGGTGTGACAGCAGTAAGGTGTTTCCCTTGGATGACCAGCAGTGCCAAGCTGATGCTGCCTTCTCAGTGGAAGGGGGGGTTAGAAAAGGTCGGCCCCAAAAATAACACACTCCACCACGCCCCACGGTCTGCCGGGCCGGCGGTGTTGGTTCACTTGTCGTTTCCTTTCGATCATCCGGCCCCAAAAATACAAAAATTCAAAATAATCATACTCAAAAGGCTGGGTGTGACAGGCCTCAAGCAGATGTCCGATGGGCTCTGCGGTCACACAAATCTCTTTCAGGTACCTTAAGAAGAAATAGCCTTCCACGGTGTGGGCAGCCGGGAAGTGTCAACCGCCCTCACAACTCTGTCAGCACCCAAGTTTCTTCTGACTGCTATCCTCCTCCTCCATCATTACCTTCTAATCTTCCTTCACGTCTCTTAATTAATGATGCTGCATCATCTTCAATTTCTCCTACCTCTGCAGCCTTCGACAACGATCTGAGTCCACAGAACAGCATCCCTGGTCTCCTTAAACCACGCTCCAAATTACATATTGGAGCCTTCAATGTCCGCACCCTCCGTCAAATTGGCCAACAGGCTTCGTTGGCAAAGACTCTAGCAACTCGGGCATGGATGTGTGCTGTGTTTGTGAGACACGCATACAGGACCCAAGTGTGGTTATTCACCTGACCTCTCCTGACCAATCTGGTGAATCTGCAAAATTCACCCTTCGAGTTTCTGGAGATTCGATAGCTAGCTCTCGTGGTCTTGCAGGTGTAGGTATAGCATTAAGCACCAGGGCAGAAAACTCACTACTAGACTGGATCCCAGTTGATAGTCGCCTCTGCGCTATGAGGCTGAACGGCACAGTGAGAACTAAAAGGAATAGTGAGACTCGCCGTTGTCTCTTTGTAATCTCTGCTTACGCACCCACTGACTGTAGTTCGGATGAAGTGAAGGACGAGTTCTACCATAAACTGTCTAACCTCCTCTCGAAAGCCAAACGTTCGGACGTAGTGGTTGTTGCAGGTGACCTCAACGCACAGGTGGGTAGACTGAGTGAGGCAGAAAGGCACTTAGGTGGCACTTTCGGAATCCCAGCTGAACGTACAGATAACGGTGATCGCCTATTACAACTATGCTCAGATAACCGCCTATTTTTAGCCAGCACAAATTTCAGACATAAAGAAAGGCACTGTCTGACCTGGCGTCCACCGAGCTCGACTCAGCGATGGACACAGATAGACCACATTGCTATTAGTCATCGCTGGAGAGGATCGGTGGAAGACTGCCGCTCCTTCTGGAGTACGTGTTTGGACAGCGATCATGCGTTGGTCCGAGCACGTATATGCCTGCGTCTCAATGGACGTAGAAAAAATTTGGCAACAAAACCACTACGAGTTCTGCTGGACAACGAAAACACCAAAGCCGTGTTCAGTGAGAAGTTGGCTAGGCAGTTATCGGAACAAAAGACTGTCACTCATCCAGAAGAAGCTTGGTGCCATCTTCAGTCTACTGTAAAAGCAGCACTGGAGACTGTAGCCGACTCCAAGATAATGGCTAAAAAGAGCCAGTGGATATCAGCAGCTTCTTCCAAACTAATGGATGCACGTGAATGCATCCCTGCAGGCTCTGAGTACAATGAAGAGCGAGCGCAACTTAAAAATAAACTGACGAAAAGTCTGCGCAACGATCGTGAACAGTGGTGGGCAGCAAAGGCTAAAGAGATGGAAAAGGCAGCGGCGATCGGTAACAGTAGACAGTTATTTAGACTTATTAAGGAGACTGGGGGGAAATGGTCAACAACAGTTAGTGAGGTTATAGCGGAGAAGGACGGATCTGCGATTCACTCGCAGGGAAGGCGACTGGGACGATGGGCAGAACACTTTGAGGAACAGTTTAACTGGCCTCCAGCCACCATTGCGCTGCCCGCTATCCAGTCGGACCCTGAATGGGACATAGAGACAGGTCCCCCAACACTAGAAGAAGTTGAGAAAGCGGTAGGTAGCCTGAAACGGGGAAGGGCAGCAGGACCAGACGGACTACCTGCTGAGGTATACAAGAATGGTGGTAGAGTTCTCTTAGTCAGGCTAACGGAAGTGTTAGCCAGTATATGGGAATCAAATACGATCCCCTCCGACTGGTCTAAGTCACTCATCATCCCAGTCTTCAAGAAAGGCGAGAAGTCCTCTTGTGATAACCACAGAGGAATCAGCCTGACAAACATAGTGTCTAAGATCCTAAGTTCTATAATTCTCCGACGCCTGAGTGGAGCTCGGGAACAGCAAGCCCGAGAAAACCAGGCAGGCTTTAGACCTGGCCGTGGATGTATCGACCAAATATTCACACTGCGCCAGGTCCTGGAACATAGGCATGCTTACAGACGCCCGACAATAGCTGTATTTCTCGACCTGAAGGCGGCATTTGACTCCGTTGATCGAGAAGTCTTATGGCAGTGTCTGTCACTGAAAGGCGTGCCTAGTAAGTACATCACCTTATTGAAAGCTCTCTACTCGAACACTTGTGGGCATGTTAGAGCCTATGGTGAGTTGTCCAGGGAGCTATACTCATCAAGTGGTGTCCGTCAAGGATGCCCACTATCCCCATTCTTATTTAATTTTATCATAGATATTCTTATGGAGGTTTCCCTCTCGTCACCTAATTACAAAGACGTTGACCGAATCACAGGTGAATTTTCCTTAGATCTAGAATATGCAGATGACATAGTCCTGTTAGGTGAAGACGCTGACAAGATGCAGAGTCTTCTGAACACTTTGAGTGGGAATTTGAGAATGTTTGGGATGCGATTTTCACCACCCAAATGCAAATTTTTGCTCCAGGACTGGTCTTCAGCGGTACCGCGGTTAACAATAGAGAGTGAAGTGGTTGAGTGTGTTGACCACTTCACTTACCTGGGAAGTAGGATCAACCCTGGTGGGTTAGTTGCCGATGAGATTTCTGCACGGATACAAAAGGCTCGATTGGCTTTTGCCAATTTGCGCCACCTATGGCGCCGCCGTGATATTCGTTTGTCTATTAAGGGTCGCGTGTACTGCACAGCAGTCCGCTCTGTTCTACTGTATGGCTGTGAAACATGGCCATTGAAAGTGGAGGACACAAAAAGGCTTCAGGTGTTTGACCACCGTTGCCTTCGTAGTATAGGACGTATTCCGTGGTGTCACCATGTGAGTAATGCAGAAGTTAGGTGTAGAGTTTTGGGGAGAAGAGGTAAGTCAGTCGACGAGGTTGTGAACCTTCATCGACTGAGATGGTTGGGACACGTACTACGTATGCCTAGTCACCGATTGCCTCGTCACACAATGTTGGCTGAGGTGGGTTCAGGCTGGAAAAAGGCCCGAGGTGGCCAGACTAAAACATGGCACCAATGTATGAAGTCTCTGACTGTTGGTTTAAGCCATGTAGGACGATGCAGACTAGGTGGTTGGGGTCCACGGGACAAGAGGAACCAGTGGTTGGAGACCCTAGGTGATATGGCTCAGAACCGAAGTCAGTGGCGCAGATGTATACACACATTATCCTCATCTTAACAACGCTATACCGAATCTCACTATTTTGTCACTCCTCTTTCCTTTCTTCTCGTACTTTATATTTCTTTTGACTGCATTCACTTATCTTCATCCTTCACCTCACTACCTTTTTACTTGATGTGCTGATATGAGGTGTGGCAACTCGGACCGTTACGCAGTAATGCCTGGTCCTATGTTGATAATGATGATGATGATCACTGATCCTTTGATAAAATGCGTCAAAATCATGATGTCGTATTCCTTACCATGATCAGAAAAGCAAGACGGGCCTTCATTATTCTGAAATCAATGTAAAGACCTACACTAATGTCAAGTCAGTGCTTCTATGTAATGATTCAGGTACAGTGCGTTATGAAAAACATTTCCAACAAACTACAGACATACATCAATATCTGCCACCTACCCTCACTCCATACTGAAGATCAGATGGTCAGAATAGTGAGAATAAGCAACAAGGAACTCTGACAGGCTGGCTGGCAATGAACCAACTAAGAACCCACCACCCAACAAATATGCAGAAGAAGGTGGAGATGGATTAGGTTGGACATTTATTGAGAAGACCATTTGAGGACATTACGCATCAAGCCAGTCCCTCGAGTATAACCCAGAGGGGAAACGACGAGTTGTGTGTCCGAGGGTGACATGGAGGAGATCGTGTGAGGAAGAAATGAAAGCTTGTGGGGAGTCGTGGAGCCAGGTTGAAAAGACTACAGAGAAGAGAGTGAAATGGCTATGTACTACTGAAGCTCTATGTTCCACTAGGAACTTACGGGACAAGCAATAAGTAATAGTAATTAACAAAAGTGTGTGGACTTAAATTTTTTTGGGTAAGCAAAACGTTTGATTACATTCAAGAAAATAAAACTTTTTTTCTGTATTCTGTATTGTAAAGTAGTCGTATTTTATTCTTCTATTCGCTATCGAGTACAGCATGTCATTCCCTTATTTATTTACCATAAGGATAGGAAATACATCAATTCTTTTTCCAAAGGGGGAAATTATATTATTTTATTTACCATTCTCTAATTCTAATGAAAACACACTGTGAGGAATAATCCAGTACCAGAGGACTCTATACTATGATACACAGTGAGCTATCCGGAGAAATATCTACATCAACAGGCTCTCTCAAAGATGTCTGCTTTTTTGATTATCATTTAGCTTTAAGTGTAATTATGCATGCTGAACTTATTAATATCAAGTCAGGGTATAGAAAGTCCATAATAGTGTCTTAAAATTATGACGCACTTATCTGCTTCTCTATGGGTGTATTATCGCATTACTCTGCTACAAATGACGTTTCTTTTGAGCTCAGATGAATGTCTGTTTACCTATCTTCATCTGCTCAATTCACATTGAACTGATAGGTTTCGGTGTATCATATTTATACATGAGATCAGGCTGTTTTCAATGAGTGAGTTATTCGTTTAACATGGTTAAGAGTCTTTGCCAACGTTCAGTATTGATAGTCATAGGAAAAACTAATTATTGTTAGTTGGATGGAAGCAATTGACAGAAAGATTTCGTACTTTTTGGCACTCGTCAGCAAGATGTATCTGCAACCTGATGAGCCCACAAAGTACGAAATCTAGTTTCATGGCTTTGCGATGGCGAGTCTCCTAACTTAGTGACCACACTTCAAAATTATTGATAAAATTCGATCAGCACATAGGAATAGACAACATGAAGTTGGTTGCCTTCCAATGACCATTCAATGTTTGGTATCAATAACCGAAAATCTGTTAGTGCGCATTATTTACCTACCACCTACCCAGTAAGGAATATTGCCTGAATTAGCATTTAGTCGGGAGAAAACTACATGTGACTGAATCAGAAATAGAAGCATTTCATAAAGCCACTGACTTTTAGCCTGAGCTGTATAGGGGAATTTTTGTGTTTCTGTTAGGATTCATGCAACAACTACAGCTTCGGTCATATGGCTAGAAATCTGCCGCAGTTGTCCAGATGTATCCACACATTATCTTCATCTAGGTTGTACAGCTTTATTCCCCTCATCTTCTTTTAAGGTCGTGTAGTCTGTTACAATTACTGGTAACATTGCTTGTATTCCCATTTGTCTTTATTTGCTGTCTTGTTGGCTAAGTTTTATCATCATAAATTGACGTTAAATGTGGAAATATGGGTTACTAAACAGTACTATCAAGTTTTATGTTGATAAAGTCTGTCTGTCTGTCTAGTGATTTTCTCCAGCTTTATCCCTAAAACTCATTTGAAATGTTCCGCATGCAGACTTTGAAATTAATTTCGATTCGGTTGCACACTTAAAAGATCCGTGATAAGTGAACCGAATCAACTAGTCCAGAAATGGACCAATCAAAATGTACTTTGTGTCAAATACGTCTACACTTAAACTGGTAGATAATCAATTTTATTATTTTTAAACGTTGGACAATGTATATATTTAGGTATATTCTCCTTTTGTTGATTGCTTCGAGTCTTCCGTCTGAATACATGTTGCTACACATTTCGTTGTATCTTCTCCATTAGTCAGTCGGGTAGCAAATCGACTAGAAAGTCGAAGGACATTGGTGGTAGACAGTTGATACCCGTACGTCGTTAGCAGCTATAGCAATTAGAAACTATAGCAGTCCAACATCATCTTTTTCATTCCGATGATACCGTATTGATAATCTGTTACATACATAGCTCCTATGCCAAACAATCACTCCAATGACTGAAAGTGAAATGTTTTGTTAAGGCAGTTGAATCTTAATCAAAAGAATTTGGGTTAATTCTGAAAACTATCTAGCATGATACCAGGTACCTATGAATGATTTGCTTTTGCGAAAAATTAAAGCACAAATATATCGTAATGAAATAAATTCAAAAATTACCTCTGCACAATTACGCCCAAAAATCCCAACAAAATTATCACATGTAACATCTTTTCTAACAAATTTCAAAAGAGCTGAACCAATAGCTTGCATTTTCATATCAACCTAAAGCAAAATATTAGACTTCAGTCAAAAGACACTTACTTCGTGATAAAGTAGCCAAGAGAATGGATCTTGAAAACGACTCCGTCTACCTAAGCAAGGATAGAATCCTGAAAATAAAACAAGTAATCATGAATTACATTTTCAATACAGAATATAGAAGAGTCAAACAGGAACAATTTCCCATTGAGCATAAGGATACACTAAACACTGCCATGGCATAAGATTCTACTTACAAAAAGCATCAAAAAGTATACAAGCAAAGGTAATACCAATGATGTTAAGATATGAAAAAAAACACCAGATGTATTAATGATGTACTTTTAAGTCAGGTTCAGTGTTGATCTGTTTATCTATGTGTATATCTGCCTATGTGGATAATACATGATATAATAGCTATAATGATAGTAAACGGAAAATAAAACATATGAAGCAGTGTAGGGCTACACAAAAAATTTCATTGGTTCACTTTGCTAGTTTGAAATATTACACAATAACAAAACTGTATGCAAATAGGGAGGTAAGAAGAAAACTTGGGAGTGGAAACGGAAGAGAAGAGAAGAAGTTAATATATTTAATGTCTAGAAATAGTTAAACAGTGATATCATTCACTGAATGGTGGCTAGTAGTAAAATGTGGGATGCATGTTTCAAAAAGAAACTTGAGGCAATAATGAAGCATCTTTTCAACGCGTAAATATACCAAGAGTGATGCATCAATTCGGTCCAGCATAAAAATCCAACAGGAAACTACAAACATCAATAAATAACAAGCGATATGCATTGCAAAATAGGTGGCTTTCGGGACTCAGTAGCCAGTGGATGATGCTTTGGCAGTTATGGCGACCGGTCTTGGTTTTGCATCACAGTGGGATGATCACCACACATCAGGATGCGGGTGCATCTGGACAACGAGTCCCAATTAAGAAAGAACGCACGTGTTGGATTCTTCTGAAACTACCACCTAGCGAATAACAAAACCACTTGGGAAATCAGTGGTTGGTGATTCTAGGCGATATGGATGAGAATCAATGTCAGTGACGCAAATGCATACACTGTACTTAATCTCAACATTTTGTAATTCTGCCTTTCTCCCTTCCACTACTTTGTACTTCCACTTCTTTTAATCGATTTCTCTTTCCTTCTTCATCTTCTATTTTGTTGCCTTGTTACTTGATATGCTGATATGAGGTGTGGTATCTTGAACCACTGTGCAGTCAGCAGTGCCCGGTCATATGTTGATATTGATGATGGTGATGACTGGAAATCCAGCAGAACTGAAAAATCTGGAAACACTTCAATTATAACCATTCACACTATTATTTCAGGCCACAAGATTGAATTTAACAGTGTCAGAACTGCTCAGAAGAGCTTTTGAAATTATAACGAATACCTTACAGCATGAAGTGGAATCAAAGTGGGTTAGATTGGAATGTGGGGATAAAACGTAACTTCATACAGCTCCAACACGCTCCCACATAGTAACAGAACCAACATAGACAAATCTCAATTTTTTTAAATCCACACAATCTTCACACTATACATGGACATCATTTTTGTTCAACAATTTAACAAAGCAGAATCATCCATTTAGAGAAACTCAAATGAAGTTATTGTATATAAGCTTGCATATTGCGAATTCCAACTTAATGTAAGCTTGATAAAGCTATAAGCGTTAAGTAGTAAATCGTAAGTCAAAACAAATTTGTTGTGTTTTACACTCATTGGGAAATTATTATTATTATTTGTCCCATGGGTTTCCTAGTGGAACATAGAGCTTCAGTAGTACATAGCCATTTCACTCTCTTCTCTGTATTCTTTTCAACCTCGCTCCACAACTCCCTACAAGCTTTCATTTCTTCCCCACACCATCTCCTCAATGTCACCCTTGGACACAACTCGTCGTTTCCCATTTGGATTCCATTCAAGGAACTGACCTGGTGTGTGATCTCCGCAAGCCGTCTTCTCAGTGAATGTCCAATCCAATCAATCTCCACTTTCTGCTTATTCGCTGAGTGATAGGTTCCTGGTTGGTTCGTTACCAGAGTTCCTTGTTGCTTATTCTTATTATTCCGACCATCTGATCTTCAGTATCGAGCCATTGTAGGCAGCTGTTGATGAATGTCTTTAGTTTGTTGGAAATGCTTTTCATGACGCGCCAAGTTTCTGAACCATCACATAGAAGCACTGACTTGACATTAGTGTTTAAAATCCAGATCTTGTTCTTTGTGCTGATCTGATTGGAGTAGATCTCCCTACTGATTTCAGATTAATGAAAGCCTATCTTGCTTTTCCGACCCTGGTTTTGACATTTTCATCTGCGCCTGTGCCATCTGTAGTTGGAACGATGCTGCCTGGTCAGGGAGGTGAAAGAGACTACTTCAAGTTACTACCGTTAGTGGTTATTGGTGCTGGTTGGGCATCTTCATCGCCGCTGTCTTCTCTACGTTCACTTGAAGTCTCGTCTTCCCTGCCTTGCCTCTTCTGTCAACTTGTTGGTTTTCGCCTGTAGATTTTCGAGTTTGTGTAACAAGACACTAGACATAAATCATCATCGGCGAAATCCAAATCTTCTAGGCTCTTTTCATCAGTCACACAGCCTTTGCTCATCCTCTCGCTCCTCATGGTTTGCTGCATGATCCATTCGACCGCAGTCAGGAAGATGATCGGTGATAGTAGAAAACCCTGTTTTACTCCTGTCTTCACTTCAAAGGCATGACTGAGCTTTCCATGTTGAATCACTTGGCATGTGCCATCATTTATCACATAGCTGTTGAATGAGGTTGATAAAGGTTCATGAAACTGAAACCGAAATGTTGAAGTAGCTGCCTGACAAATTACTTCTCGGTTGACGCTGTCAAAGGCCTTTTTGAAATCGATGAAGCTGAGGTAAAGAGGTGACTGTGTTTCTTGGTTTACCTTATTTTGGCATAATTGAGAAAATATGACTCACGCTCTTGAAACGGTATAAAATAGATTCAAGCGTATCACGTTTAATTAATTTCGACAGATAGTCATCAACGTTTCTAATATGTTATATGTTTATCTTAAAAATTAGAATTACGGTTTAAAATAGTCCTTGACAAGAAACATTATCGTTGAAAACTGTAAGTTTCTAAACTTTCATAGGCACAGCATACGTCTCGATGCTTCTGGCTATACATGCACTTGAAATACTCTGATGTGTAATTTACAGAATAGTATTATACCTAGACTATGGTAAAATGCGAAAGTGTTAGGCGACTGGTTTTCTTTATATTATCCAACGAGTCAATTACCTTGAGTACGGCCTTAAATTATTTCATTGAATCAACAGTTAAAATTTGCCATGCTTAATTACGAATAATTTTGAAGATTTGAACAGCAGCAAACGCTGCAAAGATGAAATGCAATGAAATCTATGTAATGCCCTGGTTTCATTTAAGTCGGACTGTAAAAATGAGACTATCTGTTGAAGTATGTTATGCCATTTAAAGAGGTAGATTTCTACTGCAAAAGTACATGAGGTGAGATAAAATGAATAAACTGTCTCCAAAAACGTTCATGATCTTGATGATGACTAGACATGTCTGCACCGCCGAGATGGCCTTTACGCAATGTCAATGGTCACTGTTATCTGACATCTTCAGGACTCCAGGAAGACAGCTGAGGTCCCTCCACACTGCTAAGACCAGCTTTCAGACACCTCATGAATAAGTGAGATGTTTTTACCTAGCCAATCTTAATTGTCCCTCAAACTAGTCATGTTAGCATTGCATATTCGGTAGATGGTGGGAACACGTGTGTGATATGTTTCTAATTTTGTGCATTCATGTTGAGAATCCATCATCGATGAGGCTTAGTGTCATTCCCAAGGTAAGTAAGGCGAAAGACATCACAATACAGCTTGAGTAAGTACATACGAGTCAGGATACGCAAACAGCAATCAAATAAAAGCGAAACATGAACTAACTTACTTGACTGCCTCAATCCATTTTCAAATAGGTCTTTTACTGTTTTCACTTTCTGATATTCGGCAGGATGCTTTGGAATAACTGCAGACTTTCGTGTACCCGTCTAAAAAGTAAAATGTTTTACAAGTTGACTTTCATTAACGAAATAATTGGTCCGTAAAATTAATATATTCAATGAGACGGTATTAGAAGTTGAGTCTTTCGGCTATAACACAAAAGTTATATCCGTTCGCATCACAAACTTATAGTTTGCTAGTTAATTTTTTGTAGCGCTATTATTCTAACTAGCTTATTCACAATGTATCGTGTGAGAATGGTACATAACGTCTATCTAATGTCCAGAAGCTCAGTTTCCAAATTAGTTGTTAGTAATATGAATATAACAAGTTTAGAACGATAACTGGTACGTGGCTGAATATTCATTCATCACTTAGAACCTGAACAAAAAAGTGAACATCTTGAAAGTCAAATCAGTGTTTTGATTCACAGAAAAAATGTCTACTGCATAAAAGACTGACAGTTTTTAGGACGGCACATTTCTGTAGGTCATGTTGGTTTGATCATATACATAAAACTGAACACATAAATCTACACTCATTTTTCAAAATCCTCATCTGCCGTCTATTCAGAATAGAAAATTTTTATTCAGTGCTTACTTAGTGATCGCATTTTTATAACGCTTGTTTTTTCTGTATCTCACTTAGAACGTCATGCAAAGAATGTCATACTTCAAAATTAGTCAGTTACGGTGAGAGATCCATGTCCAATAATTAATAACTTGACCATATTGAAAGTATTATTTTCGTGGAGCTGATAGATTGCATGAGTGGAACTGTGCCATCGTTTATTACCATAAGCTGCATTAGATCTGCCATTTTCAAGCCGAACTAATTTCAAAATTAAATTCAGATCGTGAAGAGTATTAGCAATTTTTATAGAGTAGGATTAAATAACCTTAACTTACTTCAGGATCACTAATTATGGACTGTTGCTTCAAGTGAACACTGACGAAGGGTTCCGGACAATCTCCTGGGTTTACCTTCCGGTACAACTTCGGGTAAGTTGAGTTCTTATCTTTAAAAATAAACAAATGTAAAGATTTGAAATAACCATAAATTTCTGGCATATTAATTAGCTTTAGGAAACACGACTGTGGTTAATGTTTACCTAAGTGATAGCTGAGTTTTAAAACAATATAACCAGTCGCCGGTCACTTTACTCAGTATTTTTCAACTTGGTTTTGTTCATGGCTTGTAACTTAGTTGCAGGGTCAATATATGAATACGGAAAACCCGCTGTTTTCATATGAGTGATTTTCATGGTTTTGTACTTCATCTGTTTCGCGCCAGCATGAAACGGTTATCAGCCGGTTCTAAAAGGCAATCACATATTCTTTTACCCAAAGTGACTACCTGAATGCTAGAAAACCAAGTTTCTTCTCTTCTACATTAATTATTTGAAAATACGGATTGATGCAGGAGAAGAATAACAACTTCATCCCTGGGAAATATTATGATTAGATTTATACTGGGTGGTGATGGAAGGTGAAATGAAAATTTGGACCACGGTAGAATTCGAAGCAACGACTATCGTGTTTCTGGCCCAATGTTCTACCAATTGAGCTACGAGGTCCATGATTAGGTTACCTAAGTGGAACATTTTGGGATTTTCTGTCGACCGAAGAACAATATAGACTTCTACTTAGTCAAGTGATCTGATATGAACCGATTTAGAAGAGTTTTGGGGTCAATTGGTCTCAGTACAAGATTTTAGAAGACTTCGGGTACTAAACAGAACTCTTACAGAAATGCGTGATGATATGTTCACCACCGTGTATACATCTTTAGTTAGACCTAAACTAGAAAAGTTTACACGGTGGTAAGTGCTTGTCCGAAAGGTTACTCAGACCTTCTGGAAAAAATTCAGGAGACAGGGCTGCAGCCGCTAGTATGATCCCTGATATGATAAGCCTTACATAAGAACAACGTCGGGGGCTGAAACTGTTCTCTTTATCATCCCAGACATCATTTACTTCGGGTGGATTTGAAGATGAATATTATATGTTCAGAGTCATCCATCCTAAAACGTCAAATCTAAGTATGAAATCCAGCAGTTTACGGAAGATTGCATACAGGTAGCTACAACACGCACTCTCAAGAACGTGTGCTACTACCGTGGTCAAAAAAATATCCTTCTGAGCAAAATCGATCAGAGCAGAAAGCGAAACACACTTACGTATCATCGTGAAAACAACAAAACGTCTTTTGCATCACCGCCTACAACATGCAGCAAAGTTTCAACAAACTGTCCAATATCCAGTGTCTTTTTAAGGCCTTCAATATCCAACTTAATCAAGAATCAGTAGTGAGAGTAGAGGAAACCTGTAGTTTTTGAGCTCTCATTTCTAGTCTTGAAGCTTGGTTTTTTTGTTCAGTTGTACTCCTTCGATGATCGTAGAAGTCTTTGCGTCTTCCTGTCTATAGCTTTGGTGGTAGTGATTGTCTAGTTGAAGGTATTTTATTTCCAAATTGTAGCTTGCTTCGTGTTGGGGGAACAATGAAGCTGCTGATAAGATCAATCGACCGTTTGCAATTCCTGCTGTTGTAGGCACCTGCAGGTAAGTGTTAAGAGTTACTTAATAGGTGATAGAAACAGGGTGAGTAGGGAATGTGAAAAGGAGTGACAACTACTTATGAAAAGGTAAGTGTAACTGGTAACAGTATGCAGGAGAGATGCGCCCTACTGCAGATACTAAGGTTGAGGAATACAAGGGCGGAAGCGTATGTCATCAGTTGCTACTGCCAAATTATCGTGGTAAGCCATCTTCCCTTAGATTCATCCAGTAGTCGTTTGAAGGAGTTGGCTGATGTATAAATCAGTTTCTTCTCACCCACTTCCAGATCTCTCGAAGCGGTTCTAAATCTTCGGTAGATTCCCATGAAGTGGGTTTGCCGACTCATTTGATATAGCTTTAGAATACCTGCCGGTTGGTTTGATATTCGCCGAATTTGGTATTGAAGTGACGGAGTACAATAATCAGAAGTATGCCAATAATAGTAAGGAGACGAGTTACTGGAACTGTGGACGAATAATAAATCTTATCTTTCAGCACTTCATGCTTCAGTGGACAGGGAAAGCATTTGGGATAAGGACCGACTGACGACTGCAACGAGGCACCTTATTCAACAAAACAATTTATTCTGATCTATTAACTGCAGGATGAGTTGCCTGATAATGTTTTCAAGACCATGCAGCGGTACGAAACAAAAAGTGGAAGACGAGGGCGTCTACCTTAGTGGCTGGTGATCTAAATACTGATTTCTATTTGGGTTGCTTCCCCGTCACTTCCTCCCACAAGGAGTATATGACTTGCATTTTGAGTCCTTTTAGAGGGGCTTTGGTACTCTTTCTTGTCAAGCTGTCCGCCTAGCAGGAATTGGCCTCATATGCCCTGAATTCTGTGCCTCCACAAGTGACATGTCATAAATATCCGACAAAACCAAAAGCATAAGGTTCAGCCTTCCGTTGTCTCATGTCTCTGCTGAATGTCACGTGATGTCTGGACTTCTGATCCATGCCCATCACTCCACGTTCACTTCATAAACGCACCGTTTTCTTCGCATCCAATCACCCTCCTGTGTGCCCTCTTTGGCAGCTCCATGGTGGCGGTCGAAGTGGTTCTCCGTTTTGTACTCATCTGCCCTTGTTTTACTTTTTGAGGCCTAATTGGGTCAGGGACAGTTTTACCTTTTCGATCAAAAGTGATTTCTGCAGGAAACAACTTACGCAGGGCTGAATGATTCAGTGTCGTACGGCAAAGTGGCCAAAGATCATCCAATGCTTCCTCTGCCATCCCTACTACCTCCGCCCTTATTAATGCTCGTTCGAATGTATCCATAGATCGTTCTACGTGACCATTTGACTGAGGCTGATACGAAGCAGAAAGAATATGTTGGATGCGAAACTGATTGCAAACATCAGAGCAAGCAGATTACGTACCGGTACCGGTACGTCAGGGATATTGGAACGGCAAAACAGCTGTTACAACTGAACCACTGTTGCACTAGACACTTCAGAGGTAGAACTCTCAACCTAGACTGTTCATCAACATAGATCCAAGGATCCGTACCACATAATGGTCCAGCAAAATCGAAGTGCACTAGAGGTTGCGGTTTCTTCGCAGTGTAGAAGGGCGTAGTTCTGTCTTTCGTGGGGATTTTTTGCCAGAGAAGGTCTGCGGCATCGGAGAGTAGCGTTTCCGATACGCCTACAAGTGATGAGCTAATATACGCAACTGCCAGCAATCAATCTTAGAATAACATCAACAGGGTGAGACGAATGAGGTTCACGGGGAGCATAGCTGCTGATATCGGCGGAAACAAAAACGCGATCTGTACGCATTACACAGTCTTTAACAAGGAATGGGGGGTGACGTCTCTGACAAAACATGAGGGGTCCGACTGTACAGGAAGCATTTTAGGACCGGTTGCAAAGTTGATCATACAGGGTATGTTTAGCGACATGAGCTTCAGTCAGTGGCACCAGTTAAGTTGCGTTCACAAAGATTTCTCATACGTCTTCAACAGGGAGTGATGCAGTAACGGAGTCTTCGTTCTCCAGTTTCTGGCTGCTCTACAGATGTGATGGTGTACCTACCTGACCACATTCAGAATTTGGCCTCTATGTTATGCCAAAATCACATCATAGAGGTAAAGTAGTAATATCAGTCTCAGTCCACCCGTATAAGGAAATGACCTAACGAACTATGATAGGTACTGGAACGATGCCAGCGAGATCAGACACTTGAACTGGAGATGAATGGCGACTCTCTACCCTCTCAACATACATTATACCTCAGCAGGCCGTGAAGATGACGTGGACGATAACGTCCTAGTGACTGTAGGGACATGCTTGATGCGGCAAAAATACATCATTTCATGTGGTGTTTACGAACACATAAACCCTTAGGATCAAAAGCTAAGAAGCCCGTTTTGATTTTAAAGTAAGCTATGTTGCCATGTTAGGTTTCATGATCACACAGAGTCACGAAACAAATATTGAAATGCGGAAACTTCTTCCTTACCGGCAGGTGACTAAGGATATCGATTTCCGCTCAGCTTACCCCCCCCCATGCTAGGTACTCGCAGATGTTCGATTAAATTTCGTTCAGATGGTGAATACGGAGTCTCTGGTCACCTTTATTTCATCTGTCGGCTCGAGCATACCAGCGGTCTGTGGGGTCAAGCGATCAGGAGGGGAGTGAATGACAATTGAAGACCTTGTGTGACAGATGCACTCTATCGTGAATTAAAAGAAGCATGGAACTGTGAGATACTAATGGTGTAACGGTTAACTGATTCGCCAAGAAACCCGATGGCTATGCTTCGATCTCCAGCTTCGTCGTGTATGCGGCCCGGCGAGAAGTCCTACACTAGGATAAAACAGCTGTCCAGTTCTCCCAGGTTTTCAATGGTCTTGAAACTGATGTCAATCCGTGGTGCGTCCCCCCTCAGGAATAAGGTATGCCGGAATGCAGAGCAGCAAGAAGAACGAAGGAGGGTGGCCCGAATATTACTGCTGGCAAGAAGTTGACACATTCTAACAGGTGTCCGGGCTTCAGGCCATTTTATCCGGGGTCAATTAAGGCGGGTTTAGTCAAATGTTTAGGTGATAGAGCTAAAAAAGTCACTAGTCTATGAGAAAACTTGAACAACGAGTTGAAGCAAGTAGAAAAAGCGTTAACAGTATATAACTATCCTCCAGTTTATCCAGAAGTTCGTGAGAGCACATAACAAACAAAACGACAACAGTGATATGAGCGTGAACAATTGCGCCAACATGAATGGAGTTCTCTGCGTAGACCGATAAGGAAAGAACGTCGGGAACTTTACTTAGGATTCTCAGCTAGGCTGGAGGTACGGCGTTATTTAAACGTACAAACTCACCCAGAGATATGTCACGCCTGTTTAAGGATTCGATGGACCCAGTCAAGCAAAGTAATCTGATTTATCAAATTCTATGGGATGACCCTGAAGTCAAGTAACAGATAAAACTAACCGGTAAGGGTAAGTTAGATTAGCGTAACATTGGAATCTAGCCAAATGTGGTGTTCACAAAAACATCCGCAGAGTAACTTTACTAAAGTGCTCAAGGATGCCTGTATGGCTCCAGGCCTCCAGTGGCGAGCGGAATCCACTATCAGAATCAATAGCAACGAACAAATAGCACAAGCCACCGTGGAAACATGAAACTCCAGGTTCGGCCAAGCAATTCATGGAGAGAGACTGACACGTATCGAATAGCGCAGGAATGGGAGCCTCCGTTGGCCTTCAGATGAGGTGCATAACTGCAAAATTGAAGTTGATGTCATTCTACTTGGTCCTTTGTGGTATAATATGGCCTTTTAAGACGTAACGGGTTCTACTGGCCCAAGGAGTTCGACGACGTACTACTTTGTGCTCCCCTCTGGAAGAACGGGTCTTCCTGCTCTTTATCTAGGCATTGAATTAATCAGTGAAGCGTGACAATGACCTCTCCGTTTTATCACACGAAGAGTAACGATATGTAATCACCCCCGTAGGCAGCTGTTTGCTTGTTTTTACAAAAGTAAATCCTGATTATTCTTAAGGTTCTTCTAGTTTTCTGCGGCCAAAGACTTCACATGTAACTGGTCATCCTCGGTTTGTTTTCGGTTATTATCCCTATATATCCTATAGATTTTTGGACATATTTCAATGTGATGATGCCTATAAACTGGCCTCTCTCACATTCAATTAATGGTATGAGAATAAAACATTTACTAATATCATCTGCTATGTCTTGGTGTAATTTGTGAATACTAGCAGGGAGGAGGAAATCCCGAGTAGCCAATGGGTTATCAAGGAGCAGAAACAGAAGTAAAGTAATAGTTGTTGAGTGACTTACTTCAGAGGTGGAAGCCCACATGCTAACCTGGTTCTGTTGACCCTGGCACAAAGTTCCATGCCTTAAAAATGTGCAGTAAATTGAGTCAAAGGTTTCGTCATTATTCAACACAGAATCAGCACTGGAATTAGTAGGTGGCCGTTTATTGATTGTCGAAATGAAACGGGCATCAGTCTTTCTGGTGTTTTTCAAGAGGCTAAAACGCTTACATGGAACACCTAACATGCGGACGGAGTTTTGAAGCACTATCTTGATGGTCTTTATTGGCACGTTATCTCGGACTTTGTACACACCTGCTCCCTGGCTAGCTGCTGTGTG